CAAACAGCCCGAAATGCGATATGCTAAACGATGGCCGTGAAAGCTTTTCAAAAAAAACTATTATTTTTCTGAAACATGTTGGATTTCATCTGGAAATGTAGATATGGATCACAAACCTCAATCCACATAAATATATATATTTACCTTTGGAAACTTGCAATACAGCTTCCACTCTCACGTTCTAGGTAACAGAATGACTCTCGACCAACTAGAAAAGAATATGTGTGATTCGACACCAATATCACAAGGTAATGAAATAACTAACAACTAATCGACTGGGCTACCATGTCTACTAATGGTAAATCAACATTTCGGAACTCGAACCTACGACCATGGGATTGAGTCTCGTCTTTGTCATAAATAATTTAAGAACATAATGTGAAAAAAAAGATTTTAAGTCATAAAAAACTGAAAAATTTAACTTTTAACACAATTAAGAAGCCCTAAAATCCAATATTCAGGAAAATTTAGAAGCCTACCATTGCAATAGGCACGAGAGATCCACAGTTCAAATCCAAGGGAAATAATAAGTTGATTCGGTCAAGCAGAGGATTGATCTGATCTGAGAAGTCTGATCAACTATTTCTCTGTAAAAAACGGACATATTCGCCCCATGCCTCATGGGGGGAAACGGGATTTTACTTTTTTTAATAACAAATTGGCTCTTACTTGATAAAATCATCAATACGTAAGGTTGGTTGTAAGACAAGTACAATGGTAAAACAAATAAGTGAATATTTAATTGCGATATTCATTTTAGTATCGTCAGTTTCAGTATCGTCGTCTGTATTCATATTTATTTAACTTTTTAGAAGGTTGTTTTTTAAAAAAAAAAAAAAAAAAATTTAAAAAATACAAAACAAAAAACTTGAAACAGACAATACTTGAATAATTTATATTTATGTAATTTTAATAAGATGCGTCGAGTAACAATTTTGCCGAGTAACTAGTACCGAGTTTTACTCGGATTATTTTAAAGAAATGTTTTTTTAACCGAGTACCGGCTGAGGCAAACAATGTCCAATTTCGCGCGCGTAAATAAGTACAAACAGGTTCGCGCCGTTCATGACGTCGGCTCGCTCTCATCTTCTCGTAACTTTGTCTCATTACTACTCTTTAATGACTAGCATAATTTTTAATTTTGGATTAAAACTGTTGCTTTTATTATATCCAGCTAAATATATTTCTTTTCTTAAACAAAGTATACTCGTTATTCGGCTGAGTACGAGTATCAAAAAATCCCGCCGAGTACGCAGAGTACCGAGTATCAACAGAGTACTCGGCCCATCTCTATAAAATTTCCTTTTTTTGACTCAACATGAGAAAGTTTATAAATTGTACTTAGGTTTGTCACAGGAACATTTGTTATTATTTTAGATTGATTTCTTTTAAAATCAATTTAAAAAAGTGATTATGGACTATTTGATTTTACTTAAGTATAAAAAAAGGTTGTAGTAGATTTGTAGAATGAAAAATGTGATCTTGTTCATTTTAATTTTTAATTATGATATACAAATAAGCCAAGTGTTAGAAAAATAAACTCTAAGAAAAAGATGGGTATAGAATTATTTAAATTAAATACTTTTAACGGTTTATGATACGAAATATACGCTATAAACAAAATCGGGTTTCTTAACATAGTGTAGTAGATTTGGTTTTGACATTAGCGATAACCACCATCTTGATGTAACCACCCGTTGTGAAGCATCCGCCACGGCGCGTCGTAGTGAAAAGGAAACTAATATATTACGCAATTTAAACCGGTGAAAGTTATATTTACACGTGCCCACTGATTCTACTTAGATGTAGAATTATTGACATGATTTTTGACAATCTTCGATCGTTACAAAGTTGTTGTCGTTGCCGCCGCATCCGCTGTAAACGAAAGTTTCGCATCTTTTTGTGTCTGCATCATTGTAATATCTGAAAGGTAAAAGTGATTATTATAGAAATTATATTTGTAAATTACTCACGTACAAATCCCGTTACACATTTGATGCCTACTTACAATTCGATTTATATTTATTCGGTTGAAATACAAAACAGATCAAATGATAGAAAAACGGATGATTGTTATTAATGGTTGTTAAAAACGGATTAGGTACTAATTCAGACTCTATACTTATATACTTTAAAAAGTTATAGTGAATGAAAAATCTCTGAAAAAAAAATGCAATTATAAGAAATAATGTACCTATACCTAAAGTTTTATACACAGTAAAACAGTAAATATGCTTATTTACCGTTTAAAATATCCATAACATGGCCCGGTTTCAGGTTTTCCATAACAAGCGTCTCCATCTATGAATAGAATATTAAAAAATCTTAAATAAATATAAAAATTGAAGTATAACTTTTTAAATTCACGTCAAAATAACTCATTGGTCCTTAAATTCAAGTAGAAGACACCTATTTGTCATATAGTAAGTATTACTCACCTACTGATTGTAATAACATCATAATTGTGAGACTGGAAAATAAAAAAAATATTTTAAAATTCATCTTACACAGAGTATAGATGTTTACGACTTGACGTCTAGCTAACTCATGTGAGAATGGAAAATTTACGCATTTGCCTTAATAAAACAAAAATAATTCATAGTTCTATGTCTGTCTGCCCTTCTGTTTCTTCGCACGTTACATATCAATATTTGGTTTAGTTTCAACACTGTTTGGTTCAATTAGCAATCAATTAATATTAACTAAAATAAAATATACTTTCCTTCACATTTAATACAATAAAACAAACTAAACCTTTCGATTAAAGTATGTCATCACTAAGACTAATTTTGAAATCCAAATGTATTTTAATGTCCAGCTTAATGATAAGTTTAAAGAGCAAATTACGATGGCTTATAATTTCAGTTATTTTAAATCTAATCTTAATAAAAAAGACACCTAAAACTTTTAAAAAACTCTTAGAGAAGAAAGGATAAATTTAAGAATATATCCATTAAAAGTATTAGTAGTAAATAAAATACTTAAACGGTTTAAAACGTGAACGACTCTTTGTGACCATAGCTGTTATAATCTGAAAAATAAATTGTACTTTAAAATTAATTCAGTAACATAATTCGCTTTTCAAAGTGTTACATGTGTTACAGACAAACGACTTAGCAAGTCATATTAAAACTACCAATAAATAATCCATCTTAACTTATCTTATTTAATTTCACATAATTATATGGTATGTACACAGCTGTTTGAAAGCACTATCAACAAGTAACTAATGTTTGTTTTAATAGGTTTTGGACGCATTCTTGTCACTCTATGTTTGTTAAAATATAGGTACTCGTTAATCTAAACATCGACATATTAAAATACAGACGCAATAGAGAACAAACATAGTAAAACATAGGTTATAAGTTACTTAACAGTTTTTAAAAAACGAGATTTCTTTGTTCTATATTATCGTCTAAATATTCATTGCTTGTAAGAAACAAATTATTTTTATTTCCTGTTCATTCAACCTTGAAGTAACAAGACTTTATAAAAAAACTAATTTAGATAAGTGATTCTTAAAAAACTTGAATAACTTTAAAACACATTAAAAACAAATAAAGAATAATTCGCGACGAAAAAAATCTTTGCATAAAATGTGCATGTTTGTGAGAATGTTAGTTGTCACTGTTGATCTAAAGAACGAATAAAGGAATTATAAAAAAATTCAAAGTGCACTAATGCCAGAATAAGATATAAGAGCGCGTTCAGACGAGCTAAATATCCGTCTTTCCTTGCGTTTGAACGTGTTTTTAAAGCCTTTTATCGAAATACAAAACGTAAAGAATTTGTATGTGTATTTCTTATCAAGTTGCCATGCTCATTTAAAATCAATTATTAATAGAAAAAATTACGACACGAGCAGAATTGGTAAGGGCAACAGCACGGTACACCGCGGTTGCCGGTTCATATCCTGCCTGTGTCGTACATTTTTTAATTTTATAATGGATTAATTAATTATATTTAGTGCATTATGTGAAATATATTAAATAAAGTTTTAAAAGACACAATGTTGCTATCTAAAGTGAAGCGTTTCAAAAGTTGCCGGTTTTTAACTTCATGCACAATATAAATCCCGAAAAGGAAGCCGTTCGACCAATAACTCGTTCATTGCTTGTTAAGTATAAGTTGAAGTGAGGAAAAACTGGTATTAATCAATTAGGTATTAAATTCTTAAATGCCATTATAAATGCCAATGTTGTACGAATAAATTGTATTGTGAAGGGACTCGAGCTGTTTTCGCTTCAAACATTTTTCAGCGTCAGTAATTGGAGACTAATTTATCGTGTGTGCCAGTGAGATTTATTGTCCGCGGATATATCTCATTTTTAACTGGCCAAACAAATCGCTTTCGGTACGGATAGATATGATTATATTCTACTGTATATGTGCGAGTTTAGTTCGTTGTTGATAGCAGTGCTACATATAATATGTTAGTATAATATAGTTACATAACGTTAGACCGGGTGGGCGTTGAACCCACGACCCGTTATTAGCCATACATTGCTACCATTAAACCAACGAGCCTGTCAAATTATTGTATTACAAATGTTTCTTACTGTGCTTAATAAAAAATTAAAGGATAATTTCAGTGTGTGGGCATTGGGGAGGTGGGGGCTCTCCACAGAAATAATAGTTAACAGGCTTACCTCGTAAGGGGAACGTAAAAAAACTACTAGTAAGACTATTTTACTAGTTTTATTAAGTAATACATAAATAATTACAACAAAAATATACACGTATCAAGTTAAAGCCTTGTATCAGTAAATAAAGCCGAAAATAAAAATAGTAAGAATTGAATTCGTTAATTATACGCGTCTGTTTCAATTTTTCGACAACAGATGGCGTAAATATAACGAGAATTTAATCGCTCAGTTATCTCCCTTTATATTTAGAGCCTCCGATCGCTTGCAATGTGAAGAAGTGTTTCAGAGCGCTGAATATTTTCGTGTAGTATTTCACCGAGCAAACGGACGTGTCGGATCTGAATTTTCTGCATTTTACTTTTCTGCCGCCTGCGGAAATAAATTAGTTTTCATTTTGACACAACGGCGATACAGGCGTAATCTACACTAATATTATAAAAAAGAAGAAAGATTTGTTTTTTATTTTTGTATGTAACGGATAAACTCAAAAGTACTGAACCGATTTTAATAATGAAAATCTGATTTGCTTTCATTAGAAAGCAACACTATCACTGAGTAACATAGGCTATATTTAGTACTAGATTACTATAGAAATTACTTTTAAAAGCAACAGAAGAGGTAAAAAAATTAACCATAAAATGTTTTTATTTGATTGTTGCCCAGTAAGGAAAAATACACTATAATGTTAGTCAGTTTTTTTCATTTAATTTAGAGAACATATTTCCTTAACATAATAATAACATAATAAATATTTAGTTCGTATTTTAAAGAAAGACGAATTTTTTATCATAATAAGCGAAAGGCAAAGTGCGTCCATATATGTACATTGGCGGATATTTACTTGTCCTTACCATCTCGTAGCGCATTTCTTCGTTGATTCGCTCGCAGAGGTCTGCCGGCATGTCGTTCTCTGTGACGTCTTGTAACACGTACTTTAGCTGCGACGTTCTGAAACAATTATACTATGTTATTTAGTTAAATCAACAGTTTTTCTGATATTGGCTTAGACGCATCACTTTATGCGCCTGTACCTAGTATATTTTGTCAATAAATAAATAAATACAATATAATCAATGATGAGCTGTAAACAGGACCATGTAGTTTAATTCTAATTTAATAGATACGATTCTATATTTGAAAACTCTAATATTTTGCCACTGTGTATTAATATCTGCATCTACAACAATACATCTTTGGCCTAACAAAATGAACCTTTTTCCTAATCACATCCTTCTTAAATGAACTTTCTTATTTCCTTTTAAATTTCATTTGGTGGATTATTATTATTATTTCGAGATTTTTTGGATAGTGTATTAAGTAGTAAGTTTTGCACATATCCACGTTGTCTAATTTACTCACTAATCTTTTTATCGCCAGGTCCACTCTTTAGTTGTCAAATGCAACTGTGTTGTATGTTTCGTGTACCAAAATGTCAAATTTATAATAATAAATAAATATCCATTTGAAAATGAGCCTGCGAAGATACTGCTGACGTTTAGTGGTCCTCTGCACTGCGTCCCACAGTATATAAAGCGCAGGTCACTGTGTAACGGTCGGTCATCCATTTTGGCAGCACAAAATATTGTTGCGGCAAACACGCGTGGATGCTATTTATCTGCGCCTTGTTACATAAACTCTGTTCTCGCTTTATTTATTCAGCAACGCTCAAATTAAACTTAAAGAATTACTGCTTCAGGTTAAGTTTACGCATGCAGTACATATTTAAATAAAACTCTCTTTACACGGAATATTTAGTTCATTAATCTTTACCACTGCTGCTGCAAAGCATTCGAAACGTAAAATAGAAGTATTTTAACAAATATATTTCGAAATTGAAACTGTTAAATGTGAAAGGGAATCATATTTAAAACTATATAAATATAAATGGTTTTGTAAGATATGATACGCGTATTTAATATTGCCATTTTAACGAGCTTGTAGGTAGCAACGTGCGGGTGACAATGGACGGGTCGTGCGTTGGATTCCCATCGGGTCCTGACATGTTTCTTGGATTAATTTTGTAATTTTTTCTGCAACATTGATACGTTTATTATTTAATGTGCTTCATTCAAAAACTATAGGAATACTTTCTTAATATTATTAAAAATAAAATGGTTATTTTGAGCATATTATATCATTTATAATCAGTAGGTTTTTTGTAGTAACTACAAAGAAAAAAACAAAAAATACTATGTATTTAAGTTATACATAGAATTGATTATTTATAAAATAAGCTCTCGAGTACATACTGGATGTAGATAAGCATGTAGGCACTTGTGGCTCGTCTGGCTAAGTACGGCGCGTCCTCTTTCCCACCAAAGTTGTACTCGATGGCTTCTTGCTTAGTGCAACGGGAAACTACGTCGTCGTCGAACTTGCACCACTGGAGAACATTACTTTATGCAAAAATTGCTTCTCACAAAAATATTTTAAGTGGCTGAAGTTAACAGCTTAAATTCCTAGGAACATTTTTTCATGATAGTCTAAGACAGAGAAGCATGGCGTTCCCTTAATGCTAGTTAATATACCCAATACGTCTAAACAAGATGCGCCATCGACCTTATTTGGTTTTGGATATTCGGAAATCCACAGATTGAAAGAAACGCGAATTTACTTATGTCCACGGTGTTTCGTGATATCCAAACGAAATATGTTGGAGCCGGCAGGGGTCGAACCCAAAACCCGTTGATTATTAGCCATAATGCTACCACGAGTCGTCGTAAGTTCGGAGAACAAAAAAAAATAAATTGCTTCAATCTACTTAATGAAAGGAGATTCTTACTTTCCCATCCCCTTTAGGGTTGATGAAGACAACGTAATGTCCCCCGTGATTATCCCCAGAATGGACGAGGACCGCGTGCAACGTGTAGTGCGCAGGATTTGAAGGGACCTCTTGGAGGTACGCGTCTAAATTCACTGTCTCATAGAATTCAAACCTGAAATGAACTATCCTTTAAGCGACAAATCTTAATGACTAGCACTAATATGAGGATTTTGATGAGATCTAATTGAATAAGATATAGAATTTTGCGCAATTAACCTTGACAGCTCTTCGTGGCTTACACTCATGGCTCTATGTGGATAAATTTTCGAGACTCCTAACTATCAAAACATGTTTCAGAAATAAGGCCGCTATAGGCAGAGTAGCCTAACTCCAGTTTTATGACTTGACTAAATTATATTTTCATAGTCTAGAAATGTTAACATGAGCACAGTGACCGAAAATTGTTAAAATAATTCTTACATAGTACACATTTATTTTTCGCCTAAGTACTTAATTGCGTATTTTTATTTTTGGATTTTTTTATTATTAAGTCACTCTGCCTCTAGCGGCCTCAAGAATTATAGAAACATGTTGCACGTGGGTGGGGCCACTCGTCGATCCCACGACTGGTTGCCTACGAGCCCATCAATACACAATTACTCCAATACTTCGCAATTTAAAAAAAGACTAAAATATCCAAATCTTTGTAGTACAGAGGAGTTTACCTGTCGTTAAATTTAATAGATGTGTCGCTTTGCGGATCGTACTGGAATCTCATCAAGTGCAAATGTAGAATGGGTGGGAACTCGTCAAAGAGTACTCCTTTATCTGCCTCTTGGAGGCCGTGCTCGCCCGCGTCGTACTTGTTGTCGCCGTCTAGCAGTTCTGTGCTTATGTAGTCTTTGAACGATTCGTATACTGAAATGAGAACTTACAATTTTGGAATCTTTATTTTTTCTATGACAACGAAGAACATACAAACGTGGTGTTAACTAGGATGATACAACACCGCAGAAATTGTTTGTGTAATTTAATGACGTTTTCATCAAATTGCAGTCTCTTAATTTAACTCGCATCCGATTAGGCGTCGATTGTAGCGCGGTAATTGGATTTTGACGTTGACGAGAATACCAAGTCCGCGACTGCCCGTGAATAAAGTGGTCTGCCCGAAATTTTGATATTCCTACTAAATTTTAGATTCTAGATAAATACAAACGAATTTTGGATACAAATAGAGACAGACATTACGACCCATAACGAGTGACGAATACAGCTGCGTATGACTAATTAATTACTAACAATGTTCGAATTGGGAGAGTGCTTAGCCTATTATAAAATAGTATTTACAAAAAAATTACAAAACAGTTAAAACAAGAAATATCTAAAGGACAATGTGACAAGTGACCTCCTTAATCTAGTTTATACACTTGACTGAGGATACGAGGTTCACGATTCGAAGGCTAAACTTTGAAAGTAGGCGGCGTTATCATCACTGTTTTAAAAGCACGAAGTCGTCAGCCGTTTCATCAATTTAACATGCGACAAGTCTAAGCTTAAGAATCTCTCTTATCCGAGGGGACATCCCAGTGGTCAGTTTCGTTTCAAGCTCTTGGAACATCAAGAGTTTGAAAGGAAAAACAAAAACAATGGCTCCAGAATTCAACGCCGCATTCCTCCAAGGGTTAATAAACACGCCATTGTCGAGTAACAAACACATTATGCTAATGGACTCACTGTCATTTTTTCCCTTAACGCTAAGCTGAATATCGTAGAAGGTCTCGACGCGGGCGCTCGTGCAATTTACATTCTTGCACTTGATAAATGAAGTCATTTTTCCTTCGAATAATTTAGGTATAGTGCCTTCGACTGCAGTCCCCTTCATCTTGTTCTCCAGCTTGTCTAGAAGCACCTAGGCGTGTAAATTGTAAACAGATTTTAAATTATATTTTTTTTATAAAAAAAGTATTAAAAACAGGGTACAAAAAAAAAAGGAGAGAGAATTCCGTGCTCTACGAATAAAATATTTGCTATTCATATTATACTTTCATTAAACAAATAAAATTTTCAATATAAGGCGGTTTAAAAAGTGAAATCTATTAGTTAAAGCTTTGCAACAGTCGTGGTCACGGGAAGAAAGATATCTACGGCTCTAAAGCATCAGAAACGTCGAGTAATAGTTTAAAAAAATCGAAAATAAGTTTAACTAATATATTTCGCGTTTTAAACGGTTAAAGTGTTTTATTTAAATGTGTACTTGTCGCGTAAACTACATATGCAGTATTTAACAATGAAGTTATGTTAAAAAGAACATATTTTATGGTTTAAATAGCCAAATAAAAACTAAATCGAGACTGGTGTGGTCAAAACGTAATCCGTCAATTTAAATACCTAATATCAACGTTTTAAACGGTTAAAAATTGTTTATTCTATGAATACCAATTAGAAGACGTAATACTGTCAATTTTTGCACAACTAGAATATGAATTATCCTTTAAATGAAAAAAAAAAAAAAACCCCCCCAACCCCACAAAGGGGGGGGGGGCCCCCCCAAGGGGGGGGGAAAAAAAAAAAAAAAAAAAAAAAAAAAAAAAAAAAAAAAAAAAAAAAAAATTATTTAGGGGGGGAAAGGATTTGGGGGGGGGGGGGGGGGGGGGGGGGGGGGGGGGGGGGGGGGGGGTGGAAAAAAAAAAGGAATGTAAAAAAAAACGTGGGATAGGTGGATAATGTAAGTTTACAATGCAAACGAAATACGAAATACGAAATTTCGTAAAGACATTTATTTTACGTAATAAATAGTTCTTACCTCTTTATTCCGTGTTTCGAAGGCCAAGAGTTTACGACAAACTTCAGCCGTGCAAATTGTGAACAGTACGTCTGCGAGCCATTGTGCAACTTACCCGTAGGAACTCCTGAACGTCATGCTGCATAAACGAGTCCAAAGTCTCCCAGCCGAAGCTTTTAGTTAGTTTCTTCGTAGCTACAGGTTTCTCTGAGAACTGGAGGTCGTAGAATACCCGCTGTAGCGCAAACGCGACTGATCTCGAGCTGTCGTCGCCGACGGTCGGGATTTTGTAAACGGCTTTTCGGAGTACGTTTGTAAAGAATAAAGTTTGCAAGAGCGAGTTCATGTAGCACGTTGCGCCTTGGTTTTTGAGGCCTGGAATTCACAGACACGGAAGTATTTTTGCCGTTACACTTTAATATGTTTGCAGAGTACAAAACGGACATTGAGTTCATAGATAAGTATAAGGTTATATGGGGCTGCTAGATGCAGAGTGGCCTAATTACAAAAATGTGATGTTTAATAAGGAGGAAAATGAATTACTACTAAGTATTATTTGTTTGTAAATTATGTTAACGATTTTCGGTCAGTGTGCTCTTGTAGATTAACATTTTTAGACTATAAAATGTAAATAACTCAAGTCGTAGATTTCAGTTGGGCTACTCTGCCTCTAGCAGCCTCATATTACCTCTATAATTTTATTTATTCGTTCATTTTTATATATAAATTATTTTATGTCATATATTTTTTTTATCGATGAGTTGTTTTTTTTATTGCAATATAATGTGTGTGTACCTAATTGTTTAAAACTTTAAAACTTTTGTGAAGCCGTTAAAAATGCATTTAAACTTTATTCATTGTAACTGTATGTTTTAATTATTACAATGCGCTGTCGACTTATTTAGATTTGAAAATTTGGAAAAACAAAGACTGAATTCAAGAACGGGGATTTACCTATCTACTTTCGTAGACGGTTCGTGACCCCAACGGGATTTCGATAGTATAATGCTTGGTGTTTGTTCAGAACTCTTTACCGACATAACCCGTATGTTTCTTCGAGTCCCAAGACACCCCGTGCGGGGCTTCAGCAATGACATGAGCCTCTATGGTGATGGTGTCGTCCTTCACGAAACCATTTTCCTCGTCCATCAGATCCTTCCACGATAAAAAATGCGCAAAGCCCCAATCATCTTCTTTGCTAGGAAACAATAATTAAATGGTTTATTTAAAATCTTATGACACACTTTTGTACCCTTTAGCAGTTTCAATTTCATAGAAGAAACCTTACGTATCCTAGCGAACTAATAAAAGGTAGTAGTTTAACAAGCTTTAGCTTTGAAAACTTTAATATTTTTCACATATTATTGCCCAAGAAGGCATTATATAATTTAAAAATCGTCAGCGTTACGTGCTGTTGCTCTAATCAACAGCAGCGTTCAAGTTCTGCCCGGGTCGAAATTTTTTTCAATTTATTTTCGTTTAAAAAAAATAATACGTTTATTTGTCCTACCCGAGTCGTCAAATTTTGTAAGCTTTAGCTTCTTAAAAATTAAAATAATATCCCCTTAATTAATCAATATAATCGTATTTCACAAGTTTACGATATCCATATTTCTGTCTGACGAGAATCAGAAGGCGCGATCGTAAAAATAAATAAGATTCCCATATAAGAAAGTCAATTTACCAATGGTACATATGATGAAGCTTCCGGCATATATGCTCTCCATCCGGTTTATAAGACAGCAGCTTGAGTTCCCCCAGGCCGTAGCATGACCACCCTGGCGAATTACAGTCTCCATTGCACTGCAGGAAAATACCTAATGCCTTCTGTTGCTGTCTCTCTGGGGTGCTCGTGTTTCTGACCAGGACTAGGATCTTCCAAGGGAGACATCGCACGTAGCACGGTGGCGATAGTACTTGTTCTTTGAGCTGGCTTATGTTTTGGACTGTGTAACGAAAAGTCGCTTCCGAGCGGGCGATATCGACATCGTCTTTGGCAATTTCCTAAAAATCTTTCCATTAGTCTTATAGTCACTACATAGAAACAGACAACGTACCGGAGAATTTTTCGAAGTTTTGTAATGTGTAAAAAATACATTCTCATGGTGCACTATAGCGGAATAGATTAACATTGCATTCAACCACATTTATGATGATACTGAATGAATTTAATTATTTCGTGCAAAATTATTTCCTAATTTGACATGTCAAAACATGAAAGATTATTAAAGCTTTCTACAAGCGCTACAAGATTAAAACCCTTTTATTTTATCTGAAATGTTTATGTATGAATCAAAGATAATATAAGGCTGTGCTAAAGATTAATATTATAGCATTTACGTTGTAATAATTGATTATTAATCAACATAATACCGTATGCGTACGCTCCGTTTCAGCTGTTGTGTTGTCCGCGCACGCACTTTCAATCATTTTACAACAGGAAACTACAATAAATCCTTATGAAGAAAAACTCACTCGATATTAAAATAAACAGTGATTCTGTCAAGTAACAATTATAATTAGAAAACTAGATGTATATATTATAAACAAATTTCACCTTATTTTACAATGTCGAACATGTTTGTTATCAAAAAATGTACAAGAATTTTGTATTTTTTTTTGGGCTAATGTCAAGCGCTGTCATCGTTCAATTTGTGATTGTCATTTTGGATTATTCTAAATTCAAAAAACGGCGCGTAAGGAGGTTTTAATCATTGACTTATAAAATATTTATAACTGTTGCTTTACTTTGTATTATCTATACCATGTTTGAAAAACTAATCTATACTGTGGGTAAAAATGCATTAAACTTTGAATTAAGTTGTTTGTACAAATAATTCGGCGCTAACTAATAATTATAGGATATCGAAAACCGCTCACTTTGCGGCTATTTTGACGTTATAATTTTATGATTTTACAGAGAAAAAATACGGGCTGGTAAATATAATTATACTTTACAGTTACTTAACATGTATATAATTAATATATGTTAAGTTGTTCAGAATTGAGAAGTGTGTGCGTTTGCAAAATAATCCCTTTCCTCGGGTCAATCATTGCGTCTTTTGTGTAAATTCATTTTGAACCATAAAAATATTCCTACTCTCAAATCTAATGTTGTGGAATGATAAAAATAGTATCTAATAAATATAATAATATTAACTGAAGCTCTCTATTACATTGTTTACGAGTATTAATGAGTATTTTGTATAGGAACTATGTATATAAATTCATAAATAACTATGTATATTCATCCAAGCGCGTTTTTGAAACAAATTTTCAACATTAAGAAGATAACTTAATCTACAGATTAATTATTGTCAAGTCAACTCAAATACAGATAATGTCGGAAATTACGTATTTGTGTGAGTATCTGATTAATGTGGTCTATGGGCGAACTTAATAATCGGGCCGGTGGTACAGCTGGCCGGATATTAATTAAATCCGGAGTCATCTTGCGAGGACATTATTCAGTATTTGGAGATTGACGGACTGGCTCTCTTAATTAAAATTTCCGCTCAATTTCTTATTAGGTCGCAAGAGCAACGTCAAATTAGATTTTGACATAGTTCAAGGTTATTTTAAATGTGCATTTATTGGTTAACCTTTTTTATTGATAAACTATACTTTGATTTTAGCCAAAGGGACCGCCTCTATAAAAAATGGTTAAACGTGTTGCCTAGCATTGCGTTAAACGCGAGAGATCCCGGGTTTGAATCCCGAGTAAACACTCGCTTGTTTCGGTCGGGCAGAGCATAGAAGTCTGATCAGCTACTTACCTGTATATAAAACTGTTCAGTGAAGCGGACACAGAAGTGTGTTCACCCCATGCCCCACGAGGGGAATTACGATTTCATTACTAAGTATAAATTGATAGTTCTCAAGAACCCACTTTAAGAATGTTAAATATAGGTTTCATGATATTTGATGAAGGATGTAGCGGTTTTTTTATACTTTTGTCTTTATCCGATGAGATACAGAGACAATAGTTTCCATACACGTCTATAGGCTAGACGAACTGCCAACACCACGAGAAGACCTTCTAACATACCAGTAGACCAACACGGCTCTCACAATATCTTCTTGCGATAAATAAAGGGCGTATTATACGAAGTTTGCGTGAGTACTACAAATTTAAAAAAAAAAGTGTTTATTTGTACATAAAACATTGACAGCAACAGCCAAAACATGCAGTATAGGAAATTATCTAGGAACCTCATCTAAGAAAGAGAAACATCTTGTTTTAAATTTTCCCAAATTTACATTAAATATACCATTTACGCTGCTTTCCGCTAGGAAATTATTTAACGAATCGAATAGTGCTTTGTGTTTTAACGGTTTAAAACGCGAAATATATTAATATTGCAGTCGCTGTGATCCTCCGTGATAGAGTTGAAAATAGATATCGCTCACGTATAAAACCGTCAATAGTGTTTAATTAAAGGCGAAGAGCGAATCAGTCTTGAAAGTCTCAAAGTAGATAACGCAGTTGGTAACTTTAATGAACCACTAATTGCCTCACTCGTGTGTCCCGACACTCGAGATAAGATTAAATGGTCTGTGACTAGAGTTACAGCTAATCCTTAACTAATCTAAAAGCTAATTTTCCGTCTCTGATGACTCTATTAATGACTGTTTGTAGACTATGTTCCCTATAACTGATGAAGATGGGCGTTATTAGGTTCAGATTGTAATGAAACCTCATAATACAAAAAAATGCTAAATAAATACATCATATCATTGTCTTTCTGGCTGTTCGGCCGATGTTAGCGAGAAGAGGTTCTCGACGTTTCGCCATCACGTGTGGACGGCATCATCATCAGATGTTAACTCCTCGATTGCTCGAAGAACTAATCTCCTCCCCAGCCCGAAAGACAATGATATGCTGAACGACGGCCGTGAAAGCCTTACACAATTTAGTAAAGAAATACCTTTATTCAGAGAACAACACAAAGTTAAAATAATAAAATAATCTTCTATTTTTCTTATCTTATTCTATATCTTACATAATTACGCCAGTTACGTGAATAGATATACCTTGATTTCAGATATAACATTTTCTAGCGAAATTTCTCCACGCTCTGCGAAATACACTAAAATGAAATGAACTCCAACTCGCAGTAACTAAATAAAATGTCCGTAACACAATCTCAGTGTAAATGGATGTCCATTGTCCAAGAGGATTGCGTTACAAAGTTGACACTCCCTTCCATTTCCTTAGGCGATAACTCAATCACGTCTCGCATTTTGTGTTCCTTGACAATACGTGACATTGTGTGTAATCATGGGGATTGGGGGATTTTAGAGATATCACATATAAAAAACTAGCTATGTCAACGACTTCGTCCGCGTAGAATAGTTATTTTGGGCATCAAATTTGTTTTTGGCACTATAACCAACACATAAAAAAACAACTAACGAACTCTTAAGCTTTATAAATTAGTATAGATAGTTATATATGTATAAAGTGAAATAAATTGTATATCTTTGGTGAGCCAAAAAGTCATGCAGTTTGCTCTTAGAATCTCATAGTAAGGTAAATTTAAGCGCACCGCCGAAATATACATAAATATGAGATACTAGAATAAAAAAACCAGGTTAATACAACAGCCCTAGGAAAATAGGTTTAGCTTTTTCGTTTAGCCGGAATGAATATAGAGAGAGACAAAAATAATATTCGTGCAAAATTGATATGAAGACTTAATAGCTGTTGCTAATATATGTATATAACTAAATTAAAAGCACTTTTAGATATCACATCAAGCAAGTTTTGTTTGTTATTGTGTATCAATTACTCTAGAAACCTTGCGGAGCTATCATGCGCGTTACGACATATGTCTTACGTGAATGACGACATCGACGATAGTACTACTAGATACGAAAAGGTTTTGCGACGTTTTGACGTTGGTGTGATGCTAGTAATGTACGGTCCTTGAGTTCGATCCCCGCCGGATCTAAAGTTTTTCTTATCAATTTACAATTTTTTTGAAACATCTTGTCCTTCGTCTGGAAATCTGGATATAAATGAGGTGGTAGCGGTAACGAACCACCGATGATAAACCCCTTAAAATTTTATCACGTTTCGGTTTCAGTCTGTCAATTTGCAAATATCAAGCAGAAATAGGTCGACAGCACATTATGTTTAGATGCTATGGGCTGGGGTATTTCACTGACCATCAAGTGAACGTTATGCTTGTCTGTCCTCCTCGATAATTAAAAAAAAAATACAAATTGTGCGTATAGGGTACGTAAATAAGATTACTTTTACCGATTAAAGATAGAATAACTAAGTTCTAATATTTTGCTTTATGAAAACAAAATTAAAGTACTAGCATGTTACTGCTAGCCGTCGGCAATCAACGAGCGAACGGCGATGCGAAGAGCGAAGTAACCATTCGCGCGACTTATTTTTGTACTTAATAAGTACTTTTAAATAAAACACTTTAATTGTTTAAAATGCGATATATATTAGTTAATCAGGGAGACGTGAACACGGCTGCTGCAAGGCATCCAAAACGTCGGGCTGTTAGTTTAAATAAATTTCAAATAAGTTAATAACTAATATGTATCGCGCTTTAAATGGTTAAAGTGGTTTATTTAAATGTGTACTACTCGCGTAAATTACAAACAGTATTTAATAAGTACTGCTCTATACATATTAAAGTTTGTTCCGTAGCCATGTTATTAGCACCACAAGTAGATAAATATGGTAGACATATTTTTCTCGAGGCGCGCATGTTAGGCCCGCTGTAAGGTTTCGCTGCTATTTTCCTTTCCTATTGTCGACAGAGTCCTTAGTTATGTTCATTGTGTACTCACAAAAGCGTTGCCATGTTTGCACCTGACTGCTATTGTTAGGTCAAGTGAACAGACCACCTACATCTCGACTAAATGTTGACTTACAAATTTCATAAGCGGCTTTTAGTATGAAAATGAAAATATTTTTGCTTTAATAAATCACCTTAAAATTCGTGGGTATTTGAAAAACAAGATGATTTGATAACCGGGAAAACATGACATAGACTATAAAGAGCCAGCATGCTGATCTGAGGTTTAATTAATGTAATCTAATTAAAAAAAAAAACTTTATTCTTTTTAAAATTTTATAAAATATTTAGATTCGTCAAACATTTTTTGTTTGTCTGTCTGTTCGTCGTGATTCTACAGAGCGTTCAAAAGAGCAACATAACTGAGAAGAACACCCAAAAAACTCAGTCCGGCTTTTTTTAACTTTTAAAATATGTAATTACATATATGATTTAACCTCAAACATATTTATGAGCTAGTTTAAACATGCCGCTTAATAATATAAATATTAACGAACCACCAAAAAAATAAAACGTAATTTAAAACCTGAGCTTAAACTGAAAATGTAAAATTTAAGAGTATCATCGCATAAAGTAGTAAAGTAAATCCGAATCTATGCGTATTAATTTATGAGTAGAGCTTGGCACAGATTATGCAGATTCACATTAAAATTTATAGCTCCGTTTCTCTGAGCATCCCTGATATGTTTTCGCTGTTTTTGAGGTGTGCCTGTAATTACTTATTATAAAGAAATTCAATGGAAACGAATATAATTCATAATTATATAATATTAACAAGATATGTTAATGTGCGAGTTATTTTATTTATAAATTTAGTAACAAACAGACTATACAATAAGTTATAAATAATGTAGATAAATAATGTGTATGCTAACACTATATGTCAGTGTCACGCCAACTGACAAATAACAAATATTCCGCGCTCGAGTATTTCCGTGTGAAGTTAATATGTAAATTATTTATGCATAAAGAACAAGGCCTGTTAAATATCTTAAGTAAACTGTGAAGAAGTGTTCGATGTTTTTAATTAATTAGAGTTTTGTTACAGTATAATCTATGATAATTCCCTACTTGTATGGAACTATGTGACTTGACACACATTGTGAAACTACTAGAGGTGGCCAAAAGTGTTTTGAACAAAACCGAAGTTCAGCTACACATGAAGTTTAAAAAAAAACTGTGGCCAAAACATATTACATATGTTCAATTTTGTAACATTTTAACATTTGTTCACTTGTTCGTTTTAAATGGCCGAATGATGAAATTCGGTTAAACCGATATTAACCGTAGTTCGGTTCATTCCTAATAACCGCCCTTTGTCATAGTTAGCGGGATTGCAACACACGACCATTATACCGACACTCTTCATTCTAATAGTTCCCTTATAAAGAACTTTCAAACAAACCTCTGTGACGTCACAGCACTAATTAGAAGTGAGGTACAAAGCACCTTTCCTCGCGCCATACATTTTTACAGGAAAATGCTGACTTTTGCGTTTTTTGTTCGAGTAATTTATACAGCGGTGATACGTACAGCTTCTTGTATTTTATTAGTTAGTTAGGTATAAGACCGTCATTTGCAGAAATGTTGAGGCTGTAATATTATAAATGTATATTGTACGTAAATTCATATACGATTTTCGAGAGGTCGATTCTATTTTCCCTTTAATAGAAACAGACGCAGAAGTGCGGCTGGCCCAGACCCCATGTTAGATAGAGAGGGTTCAAACAGACATTCATTTGATATTTTAACGCTATATTCACACTTATGAAATAACAATCAAATCAAAACGTTGCTTTGTTCAATTAATAACAACTTGATATATATAAAAACAATATTATACAGAGAGTAAAACATTACGATAAGATTGCCTATAGATTTCAACAATAGCAAATTCAAGGAGACACATTCGCATATAAAATCGTTGAAACATCATCATTTATCAATTGCATTTAAATTTATTCATTGTAAATAATTTTTATAATAGGTGTAATTTATGTTTGAAAACTTTAAAATTTTCACAAGTTATTGCACATGGTGGGTGGTGGTTAGAGCAACAGAACGGAACGCCGTGGATGCCCGTTTAAGTCCTGCCCGTGTCGTAAATGTTTTTTTTAATTTATAATCAAATTTTTTTATTTACTATTCTATTTTTATGAAATTTGCCCCAATAGCGTAAAGATCTATACAACAAAACCTTCCAGGAATAGGATAAAGATAAAGCAGTTCTTTAACTAACGAGTTTTCAGCTCGTGTGTGTATCGTACGCTTACTTTATAACTTTTGTACAATATGAGTTGCCTTTGAAACCGGCACTCCACTGTATTGTAGATTTTCCATTCCCTCGTTTTTCTTTTATTTTAAGCGCTATACTCATTTAGAGAATACAATTTTATTTGCGTTAACGAAGCGATTCGCGCATTAAATTTTTTATCTCAATAAAATGTTTAGATCCAAAGTTTTTTTGTGATTTCAGTACTCATGGATTTAAAAACAATTAAAAAAATACTTCGAGTTTTTATAAATTAACTTTGTCCGCGTAGTTGTTTGTCTTTTGGCAAACTTTCTTCACATTTTTAAAAATTATAGCTGTTACAAAACGTCGTTTGTTCGTTCTCGCAAGTTAATCTTAAAAAATAGATATATACTGTTCCCGTTTTTTTAGATCATTTAAAGAGGAATGATTTTTTGGCACATATTTTCTGGCTATCTTAAACTGTTTTCGTAACGTACGCCACAGAAACCCACAAGTTTTTCCCCCCAAAAAAACCCCCATGTTTTTTTCACGCGACAATCTAATTTTTCAATTTCAGTACTTCCTGAGATTAACGCATTTAAACAAACAAACAAACAAATTTTTCAACTTTATACATATTAGTATAGATAATATATAATTTTTATTATATTGTTTGACTTATCACTAAAAAAGCATTAAAAATTTACAGATGCCAAGAATATATAGTAATAATGCAAACATTATAATTAATGTTAATTAATATAAATGCAAAATTTATTGAACAAATTTAAAGACATGGGTGAGACGTGAACGCTTTGGAGCGCGGTTTGAGTCCCGCCCTTGTCGTCAATTGTTTTTAATCTAAATATATTTTATATAATGCTAATATCTACAATAACATTTAAAAATAAAGTTTTCAAGCGTTAATATATTTTATCTATAAAACTATTTAATAAGAACCGAAATAATATTTTATCTTACAGTTTCTTGCTGTCCATTAGTACAATATTTTCCTTTATCTATTTTTCATATTGAGAAAATGAGAAAAGGAGGAAACTGAATGGAAAATTCGAAACCATTGCTCGCCGTACTCAGAAACTCAGATCTTTTAATCTCATAATTACGTGAGCGGAGGCTTTTCGGGCATTCAGAAAAATAACCATTCAAAATGGACCCTCGCGCCTGCTTCAATATGAATTATTCTCTCCGTTCCTCGCGTACTGCTAAATCACAAAGTGTTTACGCAGAGCTCAACGTTATTAAAAGATGAAAGTATTTAATGTGATAAACATAAGCTACAGTTATTCAGTTGTAACTAACTATTAACATTTAATAATCGAATGATTTCATTAGTATATCTCATAATCGTACTTACTAGTACATATTAGTGGCTACTAACCGCTATAATCGAGATATGTCGAGACATTTTCATAATCGAATAATTTCGTTAGTATATCTCATAATCGCCTGCCTCTAATCTTTAGTCTCCCCGTGACCACGGCTGCTGCAAAGCCTCCGAAACGCCGGGCCGTAGTTAAAAAAAAATCACAAACAAATTTTACTAAAATATATCGCGTTTTAAACTGTTAAAATGTTTTATTTGATCTTTATATATGTAATTTCTTTTATATATAATATGAATATTAACTCATAAAAACATTGTAATATTTTTCGTTGAAATACTTCATATGTCAAAAGAAAGATAGTATAGAATAATTTTATAATATATTTTGTACTACTATACATTCTTAACATGATTTTAAAGACTTTATTTTCAGTAATTTGCGAAAAATAACAGTAAACTATTAAATAAATGTTCTCCTTCATAAAGTAATGTTTTTATTCGTTTATTATTTATTTTGTCATTCAAATATAAACTAACAAACTTTAAATTATGTAGACTGAAGAGCGAATTATAAAGATGGAAATAGTTCAGGAAAGATTTATTAATCTCTTCCCGTTAGACATAAGTGGTCGCCGCTAAATGGTTCCATTCAGGTTTGGAGTTTTCGCAAAATCACTGCTCAACGATTTTTCTCCTTTAAAGTTTTTTGCTCTCATTCGAGAGGATTCGCTTCGTCAGTTACTCTATTCGAGACCGAGTTAAACTATTGGGTTACAAGCGGAGCTGCTGAGTTATGCTCGCCGTAAATCCAAGATATTCCGACTAACACAGTAATTGTCTGCTTCAGAACACGATTCACTTAAATTTTCCCCCGATTCGGCTGTTATTTGAAATCGTTAATCAAAGAGTTTTTAATATAAAATTCTCGAACTTTTTCGATTGATTTATTCCGAACAGTTTTAAAATATGAATGGCTCGTCGTAATGGTAGTGATGTGTGCCTAATAATCAACGCGTCGCGAGTTCGATTTCTATCGGGTCATAAGGTGTTTCTGATCAATTAATAATTTTTCTGAAACATATTGGACTTCATTAGTAAATTTGGAGGTTAAGTGGGTACTAGGAATTACAGATTAAAAAGGCGTGAAGTTATATATATATATATAAGCTTTGTACTACAGTGGTTTGTAACAAATCTAGTGGGTCATGAGCATGTAAGAATGTTTTAAACGACAGACAAAAACATTTTCAAAATGAAAATGCTAAGAAGTGTTAGTGAACCATCTTTAGGTACCATTGGTACTGGGTTAGTAAGAAATAAAAGTGTGTTTTATAATTTATTATTAAATATAAAAACTAAAGCTTCTATGTCGTATTCAAAAAGGCTATTTGAAAATTATATGTTTTCACATGTTTTGCACATAATGGCATTTTTTTAAGTTAAACTATATTCAGAAGGAAAAACATTAAGTTTATAGGCGTTCTCCTCTTTGATAGGAGAAAGGACTTAGAGGCTTAAAACCACATTTCCACTGTAGGGCGATGGGCTGCAACTCCCATCACTAAACTATTCTTTATAGAGTTTTTCTATAATATTTTGCACATGATAGCATTATAAAAATTAATAATCTATTTAAATTAATTACAAGGGTGGGACTCGAACCGTCTTCTACCGCACTATACTGTTACTCTAAACAATTAAACTACCGCGTCCCACTCAATCGAATTTATTTGTTTTTTTTACGATAGAGGAAGAACGTACATGCATGGCATTAACTTGATGGAAGGTGTAATACCCCAGACACATAACATCTATACAAGATGCGCGAGTCGACCTATGGCTTTGGATATTCGGCAACGGTTCAACTCCTGCATTATATTATTGTTTATCTTCAACTAAAGTAATAGAGCTGTAAAATCTAATTGCACTTACATTTCAATTCCATTTAATATAAATTACTTTCTTAGTACAATAGCCACAACGGCGACTCGCGCTAGCCGCGTCAATTTACCCAAAGAAAAAATTAATACGTGGAGAGGACAATTTCTGTGGAATGGGCGTGTCGGGGCCATCACCAGATCCATTATGATGCTTTCGTGGAGTATTAAGTGGCAGGTATGATAGAAGACGTTCCTTGTTTGGTTGATAATGTACGTTTAGTGAAAGCTTCGCTATCGATAATCAGCACGAGTTCAAGTCTTCCCCAAATACATGAAAAACACAAGAAATGTTTGTTTGTATGGATGCACTAATCTCAGGAAATACTGGTACGAATTGAAAAAATATGTTTGTGTTGGTTAAAACATTTATTGAGGAAGGCTATAGGCTATAAAACATCGCAATGTGACTAATAGGAGCGAAACAGTGAGAAATGTGTCCTGTGGGTTCAAGATACCCAAAAAAATATGTATGAAAAAATGAATCCTCTTTAAAGCATCTAAAAAATGTCCGCGACAGTATATGTGTATTAAGTATGTATTTTTTAAGATCAACTTGCAAGAACAACGCGAACAAAGTCGTGGGTAGCAATGCAATCATATATTATATATAAAGATAATACAAATTTTGATGTCCGAAATAACTATTCTACGCGGACGAAGCCACTGGCACAGCAAATATATTTATATAACTGTTTCAGACCATTGTGTTACTTATGACTATTTGTAAATACATAATACACTTTCTTATCGCTTACTACTTGGATAATAATTGGCACTACTTGGACTATTTAATCATGGGAGGAGAAGTGATCTACGTCATCGACGTTTTGTTGCACTGCCTTCATTTATTTTGGCCTATATTGCGACTGTATATACGGGTTTATAGAAGAAATTATGCGTTACTGGCCTATGATGTACTGAGTATAATTCCTTATACTGTTATGTGTGAGTAAATTTCTTACAATTATAAGTTTATATTAAGAACGAATAATTATGTATATATTCATTTTAGGTTAGATGTGTCGTTTATAATAATAATCATATGTATTTTAATTTTAAATAATTAAAAAAAAAAACAAAAACTGAGTATCACTTTTTATTAATTTGTTAAGCTTTAGTATATTACTAAAACCATATAATATAAAGTCAAAATAAAACTATCTTACATTGTCTTTTACGTCATATATTTTTACAGTTAAACACACAAAAGCCTATGATACAATACAATTCGTCAATCGATGGCTGGAAATATGTCGTATTTACAGATTGTTCAGCTATTTCAAGAATTTAAACGACTCTGTAAGTAACCCACAAGTTCTATAAATAGACAGAGAATATTTGAGGAATGCTATTAACTTCCCTAGAAACACAAAACGTTTATTTTTAATTTAGTTTTCAACTGTTACTCTTTATAATAATTTAATATAATTTCAGATGGGCAGTTCTCGAAAGAAGCTGTACGTTTTAGAGCACGTAGTTGTCATGTCACTTGTCTTGCACGGTGGTGCTTGCATTTGGTACTATCTCCATCTACCGAGTGTCCACTCGACTAGTTGGCGAGTGTTGACGTTTTCCTCAGAAATTAATGTGCAGAAGATGCAATTCAACCGGTAGGAAAAGTGGTTTTAATGTGCATTTTCAAATTTTTCAGTGACGTGTTCTGAAAATCACTAACCGAATTTTATAAACCTTTGTGGATCAGTGATCAATTATTATCTAATACTGAATTAAGCACGAGGGACTCGAACCGTTGGAGAGTTTGAAAGTAGATTTAACTTTTACCTGGTCTATGTTATGTTTCTAAAAAATATATATTCCAAAATCTGGATCGATGCATGGCTTGTAAAAACAACGAAATCAATCCGGGTCATTATCCATGTAATAGGTCAATAATGCATTACCTAGTTGAGGATGATGTAGGGCTGAGTTACTTATCTTTAAATGATATGCCCGAACTCCGTCGTAAAAAAAAAACACTAACACAAAGTATGTGTTGATTGCAGGTACATAAGTTGTTGGTATTACTGTGCTTGTCGCTTAATAAATTGTATCTTTGGAGATGCTTTTCCTTTGGTAAGTAACAAAAATAGATTTGATTCAGTGTGAGACATAAACTTACATCAACTAACGGACTAACATCGACAGCCATCTTTATTTTTAATTCGCAACATTAAAAAAAAGTATTTTGCTTTTCTTATTTTTATAACTAGTTTTACTAACATATAACATATGTATTTCTATTCAATTTGCTAACATTACAGAGTTATTAATATTTATCTACTTTAATAACATGTGGGCTAGACGTAATCATATTAGTATTTTCCATAAATTATGCATTTCGTAATAATTAAGACTTCTAAGACTACTGACGAGCTCGTTACGGCTAACAATCAACGGGTCTCGGATTCGATCCTCACCGGGTCCAAAATTGTTCTAATCAATTTATAATTTTTCTGAAACACAGTTGCACTTTGTCTGGAAATATAGATTTTATGAGTGGTAGAGATATGGAAATTCCGTCCGGGCCACAAAACCACCCTCCATTGATGAAGCCGTGAAGTTTAATTACGTTTATGTCTGGGATATCCGAATATCCAAAGCCTATGATATGGGCTGGGGTATTTTACCTACTATCCAGTCAGCCCCATGTCTGTTCACTTGTTTATTATAAAATAATAATTAGTGTAAAATTAATTATAGCACAATCCAGAAAAATGGTTGTCGTCATTCCTAATGCTCTTCGGATATGTATTTCTCCGATACCGTTTTATTGGAATCCTCGCTTGGGAGTTCGTATTGGAGAAGTATCGGTGGTCAATTTTTGTGGACCAGGTAAGGTTAGCCAAACTAATAATAAAGATATGGAGACATGGGCATTGTTAAACCATGTCCGCTGTACCTTCTAAAAAAATCTTTGAATATTACAACGTAACAAGATTTATGTGAAAACTTGTCACGGAAGGCCACGAGACGAACTAATTCTCCTGTCCGTTTCACAGATCGGTTTTTATTTACATGCGTCGCTGTGATCAGAGATGGTCAGACTGTGTGTGTACTATTATTTTCCCGGGATTCAAACACAGGTTGCAATGCTCAGCGGCACGTTTAACGACTTGGCTATGCATACTGTCTTCATGACTTAGTTAGAAAAAAAGAACTATGGAACTTGAATTGTGTATACTAGTCCTAGTAGGTGGTTCCTAGTCATTTTAAATTAAGGAAAGTCTAGCAGCCGTGGTCTCCCAGTCTCCGCGTGACCACGGCTGCTGCAAAGCATCCGAAACGTCGGGCCGTATTTAAAAAAAAGTGTTTTATTTAAATCTTTATTCCTCGCATAAACTACAAAGAGTTTTTAAGGAGAGTCTTTCTGATGAAGATGAAGATTCGTTTCGAATTTAACTATAAAACTCTTTTTTTTTTTTAGTGGCATATATGCATTGGAAAACATTATATTTTTTCACATGAGCTACCGAGTAGAGAGAGTAGTTGACTCGGTAGCTGATTGGTAGAGCAACAGCACGGAAAGCTCGTGCCGGTAAGTCCTGCCCGAGTCGAAAATTTTTTCATTTATTTTCGATTTTTAAAATAACATATATTCAGTTAAATTATTTCTGTAATATTTACATATAAATTGCATTTTGTATACAAAAAGTTAGTATGTATTTTTAAAAGTTATTTTACTTGTTAATTATTTTACAATAATACTGTTTCAGTATCATCACATGATTCACTACTTAAAATTCCGTGGAGCGCCCGAGGTCCTCGTGGATCAGGCCAAACAGTACAAAGAGCAGCTGTGGAAGATGAAAGGAGGTGTTCTGACGTCGCATCACCTGCGAACCCTTCCGTTCCCCTTTCAAATGGAACTAATTTTCGACGTCAACGTTGGACATTTTCACGATTCGCTGCTGCTGGGAGAGACCGGTTTGTAATAAATATATACTGCATTCGACGAATATTGGTGCTCCTTTTTGTAATTAATTGTAGTTTAATCTATATCACAAAAATGAGCACATATTCTACAGTTCGTTTACAAATACACGTGATTTTTCTAATCCCTAAAAATAAAATTCTCGTCAAAATTAGTCTAGCCAATTCATGTTTTTATTTATTTATATAAACACGATGAATATAAAATATTAAAAGATCATAAACCCATTTGGTTTAAAACTTTAGAAGGGGCTTAAACAATAAAAATAAATAAAACACTTTTACGGTTTAAAACGCGATATATTTTAGCTACCTTTTTTTTGAGAATTATATTTACCTACGGCCGGACGTTTCGGATGCTTTGCAGAAGCTGTGACCACGGCTGAAATATATCGCGTTTTAAACCATTAAAGTGTTTTATTTAAATGTGTACTACTCGCGTAAACTACAGACAGTATTAAGATAGATAAATGTTTATGTAGGAGACATGTTGTTTAAAGTTATCGGTAGCTTCCAGATGAATATGATATTAAAAACAGTAATTTTAATTTATATTTATTTATGTTATGAGAGGCAAGATAAGCTAGATACCTATTCTGGTATTTTGATAATTCGGGATGTATCATATATGTATAGAAAATATAGTAATATGTTATTAATGTGTACGAAAATTCGTTAGATGAAGCGTTCATGCGCCACATCTCGTTGCTTATGCGACACGAGCTATACCTTAGTGGTCAACATATCTGGAACCAAGGTGTGGTGAAGGGCGGAATGATTTGCGTCAAACGAGGTGTCATTGAAATGCTCTCAGATGAGGATGATGAAAGTCCTATGATCGCGTTCAAAGAGGGGACGGTAAGATATCATGGTGTGGTAAATTACCATAATTAGAACAGCGGCGTAGCTATCGTGGGGCCAGGTGGTGCAGTGCCCCTGGGCCCCGGATCTTAGGTGGGCCTTTTAACCTTATCTTTAAAAAGAGTAAAAAAAACAAAGCTTTTAAAAAGAGCTGTTCGTTTTTGAGCTGTTTGTATTTGTCCATCTAGCTATGCTACTGTATGTTGGACAAGTTTTTGTTTTGTTTAGGTCGAGACTTGAAGTGGCATCTTATTCTAACCAATTGAGCGATCATGTCATTTTTTTAAATCCAAATTAATTATTAATTTCTATAACACCATCATGTGCATATATTTGAAAAATTGTTAAGCTTTCAAATAATTACTATTTCGTTGTGTATAATAGTCTATTAATTTTGTTTTTACCGTTCCGTAATAGCTTATTTAAAAAATATTTTTATTCGAATGCATAGGTGCTCGGAGAAATAAGCCTATTCTATTCAATACCGTCAAAGGTTTCAGTAAAAGCTGCTACGTACGTTGAACTGCAGGTTAGTATGGTTCGCCAAATGTCAATAGCTTGTATGCAATACGCAAATGCGTTTCACATTTCACAATAAATATAATAGAAATGTGTATAAACCATCCACCAATTTCATTAAAACACTGGTCTTGCGGTTGTGTGCAATTAAATCTATGCTACTATTATCTATGCTAATATTAAATTCTGAAAAGTTTGTTAGTTTGAACTAAAACTACTGGTTCGAATGGAAAAATTCTTTTGGTTTTTGGTTGGTCCCTATGTTGGTAAGACTATCGAGGAAGGCTTTAGGCTATAAAACATCACGTAATGACTAAGAAACAGTGAGAAATGAAAAAAGGCAGGTAAAGTATTCAATCTTTGAGTGTGCTGCGAAAACGGCTCAAGATACCCAAAAAATATGTATGAAAGATTGACTTGTAAGGACGAGGGGACGCGAACGACATCGTGGGTATATCTAGCTAGTAGCTATTATTTATAAAGATGAGGAGGTTTGAGGTTTTGAGGAAAATTTTATGCCCAAATCACTATTTTACGCGGACGAAGCAGCGGACATAGCTAGTAATAATATATTGTTTCCCTGGGATTCAAATTCTCGCGCTTAACGCAATGGTATGCAATACATTTAACCGTTTAGCTACAGAGACAGTCATAGTATTAATATAATAATTAATATTTTTAATTATTTATTTATTTAGCACTCACAATAATATAAACCTTCTTTACGATAAGATATAGACCATGAAATTTCCTTCATTATACAGAAAAAACAAAGTTCCTTTTATTTCCTCAGGTACTGCGTCGAACAGACTTCTTACGAGCTATGATAGACAATCCCAGTCTCCTTCAAAAGTTGCGAAGCAACGTCGACGATAGGTTGAAAAGCTCAAAGAGGAAGCAGGTGATAATTCATAATTAAGTCCACAAACTTAGCGCTGCTCTTTCGAGAAAAATTTCAATGTTCTTTATATGCTGTAGAAAAAACACGTTTTGTGTTTCAGAGATATAAGCTAGAAATAGAGAAGAATTTTACAGTACACACCTACTAAACAGTGCTTTTTTTGCAAAGTAGCATATTGAACGGTTGTGCTGAGTATTCGTACTATCATCTGCCGTTCTTTAAGAATCATAAGAATGGGATGTCCTATGGCCAGTTAAAACTTCACTACATAGCATAAAACATAGTCGCTTTTCCTGTCCCTATGTACGCTTAAATTTTAAAAACGCAACGGTTGATGCGGTTTTAATGGATAGAGTGATTCAAGAGGTAGTGTATTTAGTATTACACCAAAGCGAAGCCGGAGCGGGTCGCTAGTTATTGTATCAACCACTCCTATTTTAAGCAGAGTAAATCTTAATCTCTGTTTATGAAAAATCTGAAGAAAGATAGAAATAACTTAGGAACTTTGATGTAATATCATCTCGTTAGTTAGAGATTTTTTAAATTTATTTCAATGTTTTATGTACTATGTTTAACATATAAGCTTTAGCGAAAAACAATAGAATGTATTAATACAAAAAATTATGAGTTAATAAGACTTTAAAATAATATATATTCATAACCCACGTCAAAATAGAAGTACAACCATTATTTTTATTATCTACAATCGAAATAATTGGTCTCCATAACATGTTTGACTAACATACTTCTTGTAGGAAGCTATAATAAAATACGACGACAACGATTCCCGTTTGATTCGGACTCGATATCGACCTATGAAAGTGCTTAAGGATCATTTGTGGGACGTCGGCGAAGAAGACCCGACGTTTATTGATGACTCACACATGTATTATAGAGGTACTTAAATTTCTAATGTATTTTAAAATATAACGATATAAAAAGTCTTAAATTTATGACTTACTACATTTTTTTTTATTTGACCGCCTTTGTAGCCAAATGGTTAAATGTATTAGCATTGCGTTGTGCGCGAGAGGTCCTGTGTTCGAATACCAAGGAAACAAAAAAATTGTTTCGGTCGGGCAGGGCACAGCAGTCTGATTTACTACTCGCCTGTTAAAAGAACGGATCAATGAAACGGACACAGCAATGTGTTCGCCCCATGTCCCACGAGGGGGAAACGGGCTTTCGCTTTTACAGACATTTTTTTATCTATAGGACAGATAAGCATGGGTTCACTTCATGGAAGGTGTCCCAGCTATATATTATCCAGACAAGATGCGCTATCGACCTATTAAGGCTCCGAATATCTTGAACTCCACAGATTAAAATGCTCTTAAAGTAGTAAATAGTCAAATAAAACCCTTTTAACGGCTTAAAACGCGGAATAATTAAGTAACGTTATTTTACGGCGGGTCGTATCGGATGCATTGCTGCAGTGGTGGTCATGGGGGGACTTCAGTAAGAGGGAGAGTAATAAAATGCTTTATCTTAATGCCTTTTCAGACGAGGAGAACACAAAGCACCGAAAATTCACGACCGACTATTTAGATTTGTACAAAGTAACAAGTAATGTTACAACTGTGGATTCGCCACGTCTTTGTCTCAAATCCAGTTTCCCTTGGATATTGGAGCCTAATACTGATTTCGTAATTATTTGATATTTATTAGTTAAGCTTCATTTTTTTTTTCTTATGTTATGTATAAATATTGTAAAATTTAATTATAACACTTTAACGGTTTTATATATGTTATTAACTTACTTTTAATCCATTTTAACTAACATCAGCAGCCATCGTCACGGGGAGATTAAAACCGTTAATAGTAAATACTGTCTATAGTTTTCGCGAGTAGTACACATTTAAATAAAACACTATAACGGTTTAAAACGCGATATATTTGTTAAACTTAAAAAAAATTGCTACGCTAGCGCCATTTTACTTTGACCTCACAGACATCCATCCATTCCATCCATCTTCATCCATCCATCTTTAGTCTCCCCGTGACCACGGCTGCTGCAAAGCATCCGAAACGTCGGGCCGAAGTTAAAAATCATTTTCAAATAAGTTTAACTAATATATCGCGTTTTAAACCGTTAAAGTGTTTTATTTAAATTGGTTAAAAAGCGACAATTATATTTTATTTATGTTGAATATTATGCATTGCAGTGACTAAGGTATTGAGTATTTCTCTTTTTAATTTATCAGAAAACCTTAAAATAGTGGAAATTTTAGAGTTTTCTATTAAAAAAAAGGAATTTTCGTTAGAAAAACGTCGTCTTCATGGGCGCCTTCCCCCCCCCGCCCCAAGTTGGCTAAAGGTTAGATATTAAAAAAGGTTGTAGAAGGCTTTCGCGGCCATTTTGAAAATCTTTCTAGGCTTTCTAGCTTAGTCGAAGAACACGCAACAACTGATGACGTCATACTCGAGATGGCGAAACTTAGAGAACCACTTTACATCGGTTGAGCAACTCGAAAATCTACACTGTTTTAAATAAAACACTTTAACGGTTTAAAACGCGATCGATATCCGGTAACCACGGCCCGATGGATATTTTGCACGCGTGGTCACGGGGTGACGCAAATAAGTTTATATCGCGTTTTAAACCGTTAGTGTTTTATTTAAATGTATACTCGCGTAAACTAAAGACAATGTTTACCTTAAGCTGATATTAATTTAAAATATGCTATAGGAAAATAGAAACTCTGAATTTTAGTCCCCTTCTTTTTTCTTCTTTATAACTTCAACTTCATCTCTAATATTGGCAGACACACATGTTCGACGTGGCACATTTCATTATGGTTCTCTACGTGTGCTTTATGTCGCCCCACTTCGCTATGGACTCGGTCCAACACGACTGGGAGAAGGTTCTGACAACCATCGTAATTGCTGGGTTGTTGCTCAACATCTATATACAACTAACCACAGCGATTATCGACAAGGTGTTTACCACTGTGGCTATCAACTTCTTAACAAGTATTATCTATAGTTTTCATTGTTTTGCGAGTATTACATGCGAGTAGTACAGAGCAACAGCACGTACGCTGACGATGCCGGTTCGAGTCCTGCCCGAGTCGAAAATTTTTCCAATTTAGTTTCGATTTTTAGAGTATTACATATTTAAATAAAACTATTTTAACGGTTTAAAACGGGAAATATTAAATAAAGCACTTCATGCGCAAGTGTTAAACTTGTAATTACATTGCACGACAATGCAACTATCAATAGTTTGAAAAATGGACGATGACGTAGAACACGGCAGCTAAATTGGTTAGAGCAACGGCACGGAACGCTGTGGATGGTGGTTCAAGGCCTGCCCGTGTCGCAATTTTGTCAATTTATAATTCATTTTTATTATAGTTTGTAATATACTGAATATTACTTTGTAGCGGATAAGTAATTCGAATTTCGTATACATTACGAACAGGCTTTTACGGAAGTAACATATTTGACGCAAAATTTTTCATATCAAATTATGCGCCACAATAATACTAACAAATAATACAAATACAGATTAATATTATCGGAATATATAATAAGAAGAACAGAACAATTCATTTTTATGCAAAACTGTTTCTTTGTTTCCAGACGGTTTAGTAAAAGAAAATGATACAAATGTATAAATAGATTTTTAATTTATATTACATTTTTTTATTGTTTTTACACCTGTTTAATTATCCTTTCATGTTGTATGTTTAAAAAAAAAAAAAAAAAAAAAAAAAAAAAAAAAAAAAAAAAAAAAAAAAAAAAAAAAAAAAAAAAAATATATATATATTTTTTATATACTCTTACTTCTAAAGAAGAAGTTGCTAATAAATACTAGTAAACATCTCGTCTACTATCGCTATGTACCAAATAACCTTATTAAGACCTTTATAAAGATGTACAGTTAAACAGTTTATTTTAAATTAAACAACCTCTTTAACACTATCATGAAAGTATAAATAAGGTAATTGTGCGCCGTTTTATGTAACAGTTGAAGCTATGATTAAACTGAGTTATTGCAAGACTATAAAACTACCTTCCTCCGTTATTTCAAGCTAAAACAAACGGTTTCAGAACGTGAGAAAAGAAACTGTTAGAGAGATAGCGGAGCAAAAAATGGCCACCGTTGGCTTTTATCTGGACGTACTATCAGTTTTCCCCGTCTACATTTTCACTGATACTCTGGACCCCAGCGGAGAGACCATAGGAAGTCAATTAGCTGTGATGTTTCCTGTTGTACAAGTGTGGCATGTTTGGGATTATTTGGGTAAATGGGAGCGGACGTTTAATAGCAGCGCGAAGGTACTATATATATTTTAAGTTGGAATTCGAAAAAAGAAAAAAAAGCTGCAACAATGTTTATACATTTGTCATTCTTTTAAGATTAACTCGCAGGAACAATGGGTCACGGACGACGCGGACGCGGAGTACTAGTACTATATAATATTAGAATATTGTCATTGTTATTGTCAACCATTTTGAATCACCATGATTCTTCAAAACGTAAAACTCAGTTCTATCAATCCTTAAATTCCATTACACAAACTACTCCAGATCGAGTTCTTCGAAAAACAATACGTTATCTATCATTACATTTTATAAATGCAATAAATATTTTATTCTTGTTGATTCAATGTAGTATATAATTAATGATACCAATATTTGTGCGGCCTTTACTATTAATAACTAATTAATTTGTTTTCAGTGCTTATGTTTATTAAAATACTCACTGCTATTCGTAATATTCTGTTATTGGTCGGGTTGTTTATTGTACCTGACGGCCTGTCCAAGGAAATTATGTAATGAGGTAAATTCTATTGTTCTCTAAATATCAATATTTATTTAAACTTCAAATTGAATCATGTATCATTTTAACTTTAGAATAATAATAATTCGAAATTCTAAAGACTAGATAAATTTAAATAAAACATATTGTGTAAGGCTTTCACGGCCATCGTTCTACATAGTTATGATAATATATGACATAATTCTTCGAGCAATCGAGGAGTTAACATCTCCTGATGATGCCGTCCGCACGTGATGGCGAAAAGTAGTTTACGCAAGTATACATTTAAATAAAACACTTTAACTCACGTTAAACGACGTTTCAGAAACGTCGGGCCGAAGTTAAAAATAATTTTCAAATAAGTTTAACTAAAATATCGCGTTTAAAACCGTTAAAGTGTTTTATTTAAATGTGTACTCCGGCTTTTAAATGTGTACTACTCGCGTAAACTATAGACAGTATTTAAGTTGAAAGAAATCGACAATGAGATGTAGGACTCGGTAGCTTGATTGATTAGAGCTCGGAACGCTGACAATGCCGGTTCAAGTCGTGCCGGAGTCGAATATTTCTTCAATTTATGTAGTAACAATTTTTAATCTATATAGTACAAGAATGTTGGAACTTAACGGTATATTTTTGTTCTATATTAATTCAATGCAATATCTAGAACTCCTGGCTCTCTCAACTCATATACTGGGAGACTAAGGTGTTCGTCACGAACTACGCTAAGCACGAAAAGCCCCTAGTGACGTCATTTTCCTTTGGTACAGCCGTGTTCACTGGCAACGGAATGTCGGATGTTGCTCCAGGAAGCGGCGATGTATTCCTGGTACAGTCAGCAATATAAATTTCTTTTTATTTGTAATTTAACATATACCCACCAACAGATCACAATACACAAAAAACTATATTTTAGTATTTTTAACCCTTCTAAGCTTAATAAATAAATTAGCTAGCAATACGCTAAGAGAAGTCCTAAATTCGAACCCCAGGGGAAGCTCCCCTGGGGTTCGAATTTGATTGAAAAGCATTGGTCACAGAAGTCTGTATGAACGTATAATAAAAAAAACTTCAGGGGCCAATTAAAATTTAGTTGCTATCTGTACATGATAGGTAGGTAGGTTTGAGACAGGCTGTTTATATCGCCTTTGGGAACTAATGAATACATTAAAACTTTTATTACAAACAAATTTATAAAATGTGATGAAAAAGACCTCTAGGCATTATTAAAGAATTATATTTGAATAACAAATTTGAGAATAATATATTGAAACTGAATAAACAGTTTGCACATTTTACAAATTTGTTCGTGATATAACGTGTAGTTTAGTTCTTCGAACTGAGGTTCGAATCCAGCTTGTGTCAAAGATTTTTAAATATCAGGAGACAAAGTGCCTTACGTGTTTGTTCTTTTTTCAAATAGAGAAATAAAACTACTTATTTACCAATTAGTTTCGACTTAGCGTCAGTACAGACGCTAACATCCCTACAATGATAAATATAATTCCTTATTTCGTCCTTGTTAACTGCTAATGAGCTCATCCCCTTCTAGGTTGTTGTGCTGCTCGTGTTAGGGGCGTACTTGACTTGTTTCTATGTCGCTAACGTATGCAGCGTCTTCTTGCTCGGGACTCAGCGAAAATTGAAATTTAAGGTATGCTCGAAACGCTTTGTACTACAAAGAACCTCAGCGAACGGGAAATTATTCTACTCAACTCTTTTATAAGTCCTCGAGATGAATCTTTGATGTACATATGTACTAGTATACATGAGTATGTATGATACATCAGGACGATCTTGCTACTTACATTTCGTTGTATTTTCCGTAAATGTGAAAAGCTGTTTACGTCACATCGTAGAAAGGGAATTCTTACTTATTTTGTCGGGTTTAAAGAAATAATAATTTTATAACCACAAGTACAGCTTACAACTAAAATTGTTAATAAAAAAAACTTACAATGAGAAACAAGAGTAGAATTTTAACTTTGTCCTAACTTTTTTGTTCAGCAAGGCTAAGCGCTGATTTTTAGTCCCTTATCATATAACAAGTAGATCCAAGAGTGTTACATTGTGGAAAAACTTTGGAACAAACTCAAATAATTAGAATTATGACTTATTTTTAGTGTTGGCACGAAAGTAAAACTATTGCAATTTCCCGATATATCTTTGAAAAAATAAAATTCTGGTTGTTCCTGTACTTTTGAACCCCATATAGCCCCTCAAGAAAATATATGACCATCTATACATAAGACAATAGTCGTGGATATAACGACGGCGCACTTAAGGTCTCCAGTGCTTATAATATACTTAAATAGGGTAATATTGCTATATTTATTATTAACAGGATTCAATGAGGGAACTTTTCTATTTTCTCTCCGTTAATCACGTGAGTGGAAAAATCAAAGCTCGAGTGAAAAAGTTTTTCTGCGTTCAGTGGTTCGTATTTCAACATTTAATAATGAGCACAATCGTAATAATTGCTCTGTTCACAAAACTATTCACTCACACATAATTTAATCTGCACTTATAATAATAAGTTTTATTTAATAACAGACTATAACCGAAACGCGATTAAACTGCACCGCTTTTTTATCTGTGGACGGAGGTTCGTGACCCGGACGGAATTTAAATTATAAATTTGAAAAAGGGCGGAAAGTTTTAAATTAACACCACAACCCGTTGATTATTAGCCATATACCACTAGAGAGCCCGTGAAATATGTCAGAGACTATTTTTATGTTAATTTCTATATTTTTCAAAAATTTCATACTTCAATATTTGAAAAGCGTGGTGATAAAAGGATGATTGATTTTATAAACATTGGATTTTTTTAAGAACTTTATTGAACCTTTCTTTCGTCCTTTCCCACACATCTAGCGACAAACGGGGCTAAGTTGTTATTTGTCGCGATTTTATTACCATCAACAATCAGTTTACATTTCCAATTAAAATTTATAAACATTTACTAATCATTTATTCAGGTATTATAACAGTGCTGTTACTAGCGAAGAAATATTTAAAGATATGTCTTCTAATATTCAACACGAAATATTGTCTATAGAAATGCTGGACACACTGTTGTGTTGTCCTTTATTCCAGGTATATAATGAATTATACATATTTATACAGAAGATACACTATAGACTATATATTTATAATTTAAATAATACACTTTAACGGTTCAAAACGCGATTTATATATTTTGACTGCTGCAAAGCATCCGTAACGTAGGCCGTAGTTAAAATAATTTCCAAATAGGTTTAACTAATATATATCGTTTTTAAATTATTAAAGTGTTTTATTTAAAGTGTACTACTAGCGTAAACTACAGTCAGTATCTTTATTTATAGTTTTGTATATTTATTATTATAGGAATGCAGTCGCGACTTCTTGCAAACAGTTGTAGCTAACATACGAACAATAGTGTTGCCAGATAACGAAATAGTGCAACATGCTGGAGATATTGGGCGTGATATGTACATTGTTCAAAAGGTATATTTCAGTCTCTTGTTTTGCCTGAGATCACTTTGGACGTTTCCCATTTGATTGGGAACCCTTGATAAAATAAGTAACCTTAACAATTAAAGGTTTTCTTTTTGTCGTATGATTATTTTAATTGGTTTTAATCAGTTGTAATTTCAGTTTAATTAGTTGATTAATTTCTTTGTCCTCATTTCTAATCACAATTTTATTATAACAGGGCTATTGCAATGAATTAAACCACCAAGGGAAAGTGGTGAAGTCTGTTTATCCCGGTAACTTTTTTGGTACTACGGAAATGTTGTACGGACTACCAAAGGTACCCAAATACTACTGTTTCTTTTTTATTTATTTGAAAGTAATAGTAATTCGAATATGTATTTTATTTTATGAACATTTATTTTTGCTTATCTATTACGGTTAATATAAATACGTATAAATACCGCTGTATTTGCCATGATTTATTTCCTGTAAACACACACAGTGATGGTGTGCCTCTACAGAAGAAAGATGTCCTTTACCTTTAATACAAAAAATACCAAACAAAATATGATTTGATTGACCTTGACAGGTTTTCATCTACAAAGAAGCGACTATAAGGGAAAGGGAAGTAGCTTTTAATTAAAACATCAACGGTTTTAAACGCTATATATATATGTATATATATTAGTTAAATATATATAGAAAATTATTTTAAGTACGGCCTGACGTTTCGGATGCTTTGCAGCAGCCGTGGTTATGGGGAGACAAAAGATGGAAGGTGTCTTTGACGACAAAGTAAAAGCGAAACGTCGGGCCGTAGTTAAAATAATTTCCAAACAAGTTTAACTAACATAACTCGCGTTTTAAACCGTTGAAGTGTTTTATTTAAACGTGTACTACGGAGTACAGACAGTACTTTAATAAGTAGCTTGTTAACACGCACTAAAATTACAAATGCAAAGGACACGTGAAACAATTTACAAGAGAAATGCAACAATGAATCAAGCGGCAGGTTTAATAACGGTTCTCATGTACAAGTCGTAATACCGCGAACTAATTCCAGGTGTATACAGTGCTGACAACGACAAATTGCATATTACTACATTTGGAGTACACTGCACTGGTGCAATGTTGGAGCACCTTTCCCGACATCAGTCAGGCCATTATCGCGGTATGATTCATGCATTTAATATGCCGCGGGAATGAATAGCTGCGTCGGCGCAAATCTACGGCTTATGTGGACGGCATTTAATTACTATTCATTTTCGTTTGAGATTCTCATTTCAGGTTCTGAGAAGTGATTAATTTATATTCATAAAATCTATTATAAATTTTATAACATTATCATTTTCACATAGTGGCATTATATATAAGGGATATTTTGGATACTTAAACAAGTTTGACGTCATAATATTATCTGTGTAAATTCATTTGACCATCGTGGTAGCCCATAGGAATACGTGATCACGATCAGTTCAAATAAATATCTATACTTTTACCTAGCTATTTAACATAATAATAATAGTAATAATAAATAATAATAACAATAAATTTATTGTGTTTCGGTATATGTATTTCTAAATGTCCAAAGCTAATATAAGTCAACATCGCATCTTATTTAGATGTTATAATGCTGTGATATTTCCTTCCACCTTTAAACCCCATGCTGTCCTCCTCTGTCAAAAGAAAGATACGTTAATCGTTTTAAATGATTAAAAGGCCCTATCGGGACAGTAATTGTAATAAAAGGAGCATCAACGTCGGAAAATTATTAATGTTTCCATTTAGACTCTTCAGGATCCCGAGATCCGCAGACAGGCGTCACGTTACGAGGACGCTAAGCCCCTCGTGGGTAGAATAGATGCCAAGACGAATAGAATTGCGGTGAGTACACTATTGTTTTGAAATTACATTTTATTTCCAGCAACGGGTGTAAGCCTTGGATTTATAGCGATATTCATTGAAGCTATATAAATACATGTGTGCTAATAGATGTGTGCTGTTAAATAAATATATATAAATAAAATAAAATAAATATTCTGTAATATGAAATATTATCGCCTTAGTCTTTAGTTTACGCGAGTAGTATACATGTTTAAAAAAGTCTGGTAACAATGGTCTGGTATTACAAGATGGCGCTAGCGCAGCATCTTGGGCGTCCCAACGTCGGGGCGTAGTTAAAAGAAATTGTGAATACAACTTTGATAATAAGTTGTATCTAATATCCGTCGAGTTATTTATATTTCAAAGGATTGAAATGAAATAATATTTTTTGAATCCTATAATCCTTTCACGGCCATTTTGCAAAGCCTCTCGAGTATTCGAGCTGTAAATATTCATCTGTCCTGAATTTACAACTATATATATACCTATATACCTACCTATATTATTATTGAGAACAAATGTTAAAGTATATTTTATTTAAATAATATGTATCTCCCGATCAGTGAAACGGACACAAAAATATGTTCGCTATATGCCCCACTGGGGCAAATGGGATTTTACCTTATTTTTATTTCAATAATTTGTCTGATTATTTTAAATAGTGTACTAGAATATACCTAATTGGTTTTATTGAACCATAATGTACGCTTATAAAAACACTACAGGTTACTTATTTCGATAATTTAGTAGTTTTTTTGAGAGTAGACGAAAGATTAAAATTTGATTGAGTAAACTTATTGAAACATGTTTTCTCAAGTCACAAAAGGCTCGATTGACTAGATAACTTATTTGTTATAAGAATAGTTAGCTTATGTAGACATTATTTAGTAATAATAGCTAATATTACGCTTTGACTTGCTATTGGACTGTGTACAATAAATTAGCAGAGCGTATTCTTTTATGTAGCAACAATGACATCCTATAAAGTTCTAGTGGCGTATCGTTTCAGCAAGAAATAAAGGAAAGTTTCGTTATATTGAGTGGTCGAGAAGAAAAGCTTCAGTTTCTACAAGCGTTCGAGAAGTTGGGAATTATGAAGTGAGTGAACTTTTGTAGGAAATTGGTATGGAATTAGAAATACCCACTCTGTTATATCGATGTGTTAATTACATTAAATTTGCAAGCACTTGTTTGAGAAAACATAATTTATTTATCATTATTAACGGTTTAAAAGAATACTGACAAATATCTGCATAACGGTGGATCGTATTTGGAATTTTGATCTTTTGTGTTTCGTTGTGGATATTTGAATTAAAGGGGGATACATTGGGAATTTTAGAAATCGTCTCGTAGTAATTGATTTGATATTATTTTTCCATAGAAAAGCTTGTACTATCAGTTCTCGAGGGATTGACCTCATGAACGTAAAATCGTTGCTCATATAAGTTTGTTAGACCCACATGGTTTTACGTACATGTTTTAATGATAAAGGAAGACAGATAAGGAGTTCACTAGATGGTAGGTGAAATAGTCCAGTCACATAACATCTAAACAAGTTGCGCTGTCCACCTATTTTGGCTTTGGATTATCGGAAATCTATAGGCTGAAACCGAAACGCGATTTCACGGGTTTGTTATCTATGGACGGTGGTTCGTGACCGTTTCAGATGAAGTCCAACATGTTGCAGAAACATTTGTAATATTATTCCTATATTTTGCTTTGCACCTAATATGACAAATATATCACATAAATATTTAAATTGAATTTCATGTTACAAGTCCTTGCTCAGACCTCTGAATTTTACGGTGCCATAAAGTTGATGAAAGATCGTGCCTCGGCCCTATTCTAATATTCGTAAAATTCTATGCATAATACCTTTCGAATTAAACTTCAGGCGAAACTAAATATCATTTATGTTTTAGATATGTGAAATATTTATTCATACCCGGGATAATTACGCCTCATGGAATATTTTTGAAGACCTGGTGTACCTTAAGATTTTTAGTGGCCATCTATTACATTTTATACATACCATATAGTATCGCTGTAAGTATAATAAGTACAAGACTTCTTTTAACTTAATGTCTCGTTAAAAGCTCTAAACAAACACCCTTATCAGTGGTATATATAGATAAATACAATTCCAGACTAAACAAAATAAATTTGGCGGCGGCTACAATTGGATGGACATATTTTTGTACCTAGATATCGTCGTTATGTCTTATGTAGCGTTTTACAATAAAAAATCATTGTTGGTAACGCATCCATTGCTAACCGTATCCCGTTATATGAAGCATGGATTCATTTTGGACATTTTGAGTATATTTCCATTCGAAGAATTGGTAAGTATGAACAAGACAAAACTATGAATATATGCTAAATCCATCTTATTTTATAAATGTTTTGGACATCTTCGAAGAAACAAAACATACCAAATTACTACAATCCAAATGGATTGTTGATTAATATTACTTGTTTAAATAAAAAAACTAACGGTTTAAATCACGAAATATATATTTTTACGTATGCATCCATTGCATCCAGACATTTTCAAAATAAGATGAAAATTTCGAGTTTTAAACTGCACTGTTCGCTTATACAACATACAATACTTAAATATTACTTACACCAATTATATAAACTACTATTAAACATTATTGACTTGGACTACTGATTATTATTAGTTTCAAACAGTTAATTATACATTTCAGTTCCGCATAATAAATGACCATTCGGACCTAGATTTGTTTAGACTAAACAAGATGCTTTTGGTAAGAAAATGTTACTTTAGTATTTTCGTGTCTTACTTAATACATATATGACACTAAACTTAACTTATAGGCTTTAAAAAATTTATTTAAATATTACATTTTTTACAATACATATATTATTCATATTGGGAGAAATGTTGTACCAATGCCTTCACGAAAAAAAATTGTGTAGTGCGATTCTGGGTTCGAATTCCGATAAAATAGTTTTTTGCTTTGCGGCACAAAAGTCTAAAATATTTAAGAGAAATGTGTTGTAATTACAACTTGAAATTTTGAAATATACTAAATTTAAATAATAATACTTTGATTATTAAATATTACAGGTGTTCAGAATAACTAGTACATTCGCCTATTGGGAAAGTAATATAATGCGAGTGAACCAGGCCGTCGTTTTGTTGAAGTTTCTACCTCTGGTGGTCACCACAGTAAACTTTGCGACCTCGTACATCTTCATGAGCTCTTGCAAAACATTAGTGGAACCAAAAAGTTATTTCATTCAAGTGAATTGTTCTAAATCACTAGTGCTTTCCCAGGTTTCACATCTTGAACAAAAGTGTTAGTATTGTCGTGTTGATTCAATATTAATATTACCAATCTCTGGTACTAAGGATGTTTGGTACCGTGTCATGCCCAGAGCGTTCCATTTTGATAAAATTTGCCATTAATTTAACCTTGGAATAGTAGCCATATTAATCCATTGTAAAATGGCTGCAATGTTTAATCAACGATGGGGGTGGTGGGGGGGGGGGGTCGTGGGTTTGATATCCACCATATTCTACTTTGGTATTTTACCTACCGTCAACTGAAGCCCAAGCTTGCCTGCCCTCCTCTATCATAAAAGAACGTTATAAGGCTTTTTAGCCACTAGTTTAAACATAGTTTCACTCTGTTTCGATTGTTATTAATTGCTCCACAGATGCCATCGCTGAATACATTCGAATATTTTATTGGGTTTTCGAAATATTCGTCGGTGAGTAATGTATCTTGGTTTGCCTCTGTATATACATTATTCACTTAAAATTAAAATGTAGTTAAAAGTTAATTAAACGTATAACATATTATTACCATAAAATTATTTCTACATTTCTTCCACGAAAACCAACCCCTTTTAGGGTTCTCTATGGAATATTCTACCTTAATATTGCATTAAGTATAACATAATAGTTTCGGTCTGGTAGGGCAAAAAAGTCTTTTTAACTACGTATCTGAATATAAAACGAATATTATATCACAGGTTCAGAAAAACCGTATTACACTGAGTCCACATGGAGACACTCTTTTAATACATTTAAATTAAGTACACAATTACTATTGAGTTAAATAATATTGTTGTTACAAGCGGGAGTCGAACCCACGTTCGAAGTATCGGTATGCTCTTACCAATCAATAAATCTTTAATATATTATATTTTTTTAAATAAAAAACTTACGTTTCAAACGCGATATATATATTATAATATTTAAATTACTTTTCGAACTAGTTTAACTAATGTATATCGCGTTTTAAACCGTCGAAGTTTTTATTTAAATGTGTACCACTCGCGTAAACTACTGACAGTATCTATCTTAATTTATATAAATTTGTCAGGTGTTAGTAAAAATAATTAGTATCCGCATTTTTAATGAATTTATTTAAAATTTTCAGGATGCGGGTGTACGCCTGTTGTTTTATCAAACACAGTGGATGTATGGTTGACTATGGTGCTACAAATATCTGGGCTATTATACTACGCTTTCATGTTTGGGTATATCGCATCAACGAGATCCGCCGCGGTTCACGCTCTATTGGATCATAACGTAAGGTTATTTATAACATACAACCCAATTTACACTTACAGACAAACACACTCAAAAAACCTTAACACAAATTCTGTAAGACATATTTATTAATTTGGTTCGAGACGTTTATTTTTAAACACAATAAATTTATTTATATGAGCTATCAATTGACTATACTAAGATATAAAGCTGAAAAGTTGATTTGTTTGTATGTTTGAATGCGCTATCTCTGGAACTACTGGTTCGATTTGATTTTTTTTTTGTGTTGATTAGAGCATTTATCGAGAAATGCTATAAAACATAGTACGTAAAAACAAAAACGGTTCAAGACAATCAAAAAAATATGTAAAAAAAGAATTATTCCTCTTTAAATGATATAAAAAATTGCAAACTATACATCTATCTTTTAAGATCACCTTGCAAGAACGACGGGACGCGGGGGATGAGCAAAAGTTTTAATTTTTTTTTTATTACATAAAATAATTATACTACGCGGACGAAGTCGTTGATACAGCTAGTGTATATAAACTTATGATAAACTTTTTTTTTCTAGAAAAACTTAATACATACACGACAATACTAAATACTTAAGAATAAAAAAGATAATATAATTTCTCAATTAAATAGATTGTGCCAATTTTAAGAAATGAGAACAAAGTATGTGTAGATTGACAGTTTATAAAACATTGAAATACATCGTAATTGAGATAACGTGCAACAATCTTTTAGAAAACTTATTTACTTTAAACAACTTACGAATTTTGTATCAAATCTGTTTTCTCATATTTTGTTTATACGTACAACTGTTATGAATCCCTTCGTATATCATATAATGATGTTCCTTTTTAAATATCGTAAAAGTAATAAAATGAAATTATCCTCCCATTTTATAAATATCAAACGTAAATACTGAGTGTAACATGCGTTTAATGTGATATCAAAAAATGATTGAGTTCAAAGGGAGAGGAACGTTTATGCTATTATGAATAAATGACAAATAAATCCATGTTTATCTGTAGCGGATGTTAAAGCCTTTTGCTTTAGGGTGTAAAAAAATCACTCAGATAAGCGTAACAGTATCAAATGAGGTCTACAATACGTTTTAGATAAGTTTTAATTATTTTTGAAAAAATCGTATCATAAAATAAAAAATTACTGGGTACCTAATTAGCTCAATGCCCATTATTAATGTTTCAAGTATTAAGTTGTTTATTTTTGTTTCTTCTAGATTTTTTTAAGTAGAAGATGTTTTTTGGACTACTTAATCTAAAAAAATCATCGGATGATCCTTGCAGATAAAAGATCAGTTTAAAATGCGAAATATTTTAACTATAGCCCGACGTTTCGGATGCTTTGCAACCCTGGTCATAGGGGCTGTGAATTATTTTATATTTCGCGTTTTATATAAAGATTGAATATATACTAATACAAAAAGGATATTTTATGTCAACCTATTACTTTTACGACTAGACACATGTATGTTCTTTCCTCATGACAGCACTAGACCACCCAACCTAGATCCAGTCTTTGTTGTTCAATATTTATCTACCCAAAGATTACGTATGTTGAATATTTCAATAAACTTTTTAAGTTATCTTATTTCGAGCACAAAAGCAACAAAGTTCGAATAAATATTGTTCGCGAAATGTATCGAACAGTCGAAAACATAATTTATAATCCAATAACAGTAACGGTTGTTGCGAACAAGAATTTCTTATACTTTGTAAATGTTGATACAAGTTTTAATATTCCACGGCGTATCTCAGGTAAAAAATGTAAGCGCGGAAAGTTTCGTCATTAAAAACGTTATGCGCACGTACAGCAATAATTATAGTTACTTTTAATGAGCCGAGTTCTCGTTACTTTTAGGAAAATACGAGGGATCTGGAAAACTTTCTGTATCAGGAGAATGTGGATCCTATACTCACTGTCAAAACGTTGAAATATTTTGAATATGTCTGGAAGAGGACGCACGGCAGTAATCCACAGGTGGGTTTGATATTGAATTTTGACTAACATATGTTACATGTTAGTTAGTTAATTACTTAAGTATGTTATACTATATGTAAATTTGGCATAAATAAATCGCTGTACGGGTTTCATGCTCGGTGAATATATGTAAGATAGATAAAGGTACAAAAATAAATGAATAATAAAAAAATGTAGGGAGGTTCGTTTTTGGTTTATTGTGTCAGCAACTTCGGCCGCGAGAATTGTTATTTTGGGCATCCAAATTAGTTTTTGTAAACCCCGTTATCTTTATAAACTTAAGCTGTTAGCCACGACGTCAATCGCGTCCCTTCCCGTTGTTCTTGTAAACTATATCTATAAAATATTTTATTTAGTAAACTAGACAGAACTGTCTTTTATGGTAAGTAAAACTAATATAACAAATTCTTATAAACTAGGAAAACGATAGCATGTACCACAAAATTATAACGAAATTTAAATGTATTTAATATATATATATATATACTAGAATATCGTAAGAAGTTTCACTGAGAATATTGTAAGGTATTAATTTAAAAAAATCTTCTTCCAATCTATTGGTCTCCTATAATACAATGAAAACATTTTTTTCATTAATATATGCGTTTATATGTATTCGAAATAGTGTATTTTTATAATTATTCTGAATGTTGATTTAGTTATGAGTTTTTTGAAATAAAACACTCTTACCGGTTTGAAAGAAAATATATTTTGTTTATTGAGTATGCAGCATAGAGGATGGTAAGGTGTGAAAACATCGATGGTATAATTTTATATCTTAATATATATAATATCTTTATTTTTTGAATCGTTCAAAAATATATTAACACATAAGCACGCACAAGCTGATATCGTAAGTACTAAGACTTGTTTACACCATAAATTGACCGCACGAAATAGGCAACATTTTGCGAATACGTCCAATTTGTGAAACTAATTCACGGCTAATAGGGCGAAATTATTGCCGCAAAAAAAGGTCGACCTTCGCCTTTTTCATATCTTCGGGCGCAACAAATGACGCTAATTGTCCCGGATGGAACCTTCACGTGTTTTCGTGTATTTTCCGTAATGAACTAGTCGATAAATATTTTTTTGGTTTGCTTTTCCGAAAACCGATTAACTTGTTAGTAAATAAAGTTCATTAGATAAATTCACCGTAATTATTTACGCATATCATGGTATTTTTTTGTCTTCGATAAAAACTCTTAAGAATATGGTAATTATAAAAAATATGGAATATCCTCTAAAACATTTTTTTCATGTAAACCTCACTAGATGGCGTTATAAATTTACGTTGCAAAAATACGGGCGGGACTTGAACCGACATCCACAGCGTCCCGTACCGCTGCTATAAACAATTGAGCTACCGTGTCGGTTTTTTTTAATCTAAATAGATTTTTAATTTCTTTTAAATGTAAGCCTAGTTATGACGTCATGACTCTTCTTAAATCCCTGACAGTTGCTTTTGTTATTTATAGTTTTTCATATCTAGAATAGTTATTTTTAAGTTTAATATTTAAAGTATCTAATTCAACATGATTTAACACTGCTAAGGCTGCTAGAGGCAGAGTGGCCTAATTACAGAAATATGATCTTCAATAAGGAGGAAAATAATTTAAAGCGCCGAATTCAACATAATTTGTAACACTGCTGAGACTGCTAGAGGCAAACTGGCCTATTAGACAAACAAAACGATTTTCAATAAGGAGGAAAATAAAAATGCGCAATTAACTTAGGCGAAAATGAATTAGTATTAAGTATTATTTGTTTGTGAATTATGTTAACAATTATCGCTTACTGTGATCTTGTAGATTAACATGTTTACTCTAGGAAAATATAAATAACTAAAATCATAAAAATTCGGATAGGCTTTTTTGCCTCTACCAGCCTCATATGTATATCTTACAAAAAATCTATACGTCTGGTCTTATTGTCCCTACTTCTCTTTAACAGGAAATCTGTCGTGGTCTGAATTCAGCATTAATGGAAGACACGCTCGTGTTCATGTACGAACGGGCTCTGAGGGAAGTCCCTCTCTTTGGGAAAGTCGAACGCTCCTTCATCAGGGTCATAACGCAGCACTTGCATGAAATGTATTTCTTAAAGGGCGACACGGTCGTTCAGTGTAAGGATGTGCAGACGGACATTTATATCATTTATAGAGGAAAGGTCTGTGGCTAAATCTGTAATTAGATTTTGCGTTATAAATTGACTTTTTTTTTATGTCCGGAGGTTAATTATATACGGCTGTCGCATCAATTTATGGTTTAAAATATTTAAATTAAACACTTTAGCGGTTTAAAACGCGATATATATTAGTTAAACTTATTTGAAGATTGCATTAACTATGGCTCGACGTGGCTACGGGAAAGCCGTACGGGCGGGTCGTAAGGTGTTTTATTTATATGTGTACTACTCACGTAAACTACACACAGGATTTAATGGTTTGTGATAGTTGAGTTGAAACTTGCAAAATCGGCGATTAGCATCTAGGCTTTCTACTGTACTTTTTGTGTATTAGAAGGAAATGTAATATCTCTTCTTTTATCAAATTTCTTATCTTATCTTAAATCTTTTTTTCTTAACAGGTTGACGTTTTGAGCTCTTATAATGAAATGATTACATGTATGGGGACAGGAGGGATGTTCGGGAATTTTACTGGTGTAAGAAAACACTTGTTTATTAAAAGAATTAGTCAATATATAACAAATATCTCAGACAATGATAATTTTAGCAACCGATGTCCAGTTCTGAAGTGTCAATCTACGCCAGCCGCAGCTTAGATCTTCTCGTGATTCCATCTCAAACGTTTTTCAACTTAGTAAAATACTATCCGAAGCTTCAAGCACCTCTGAAGAAGGCGTTTCAAGTGTCCAAAGATTACATACTTCCGATATCGATGGAAAATGAAAATGACGAATCGTCAGGTTTTCGATCTAAATAAAACACTTTACGGTTTAAAACGCGACGTGGACCCGATCGACGGCTGCTGCAAAGCATCAGGAACATCAGGCCGTAGTTAAAATAATAAGCTTAACTAATATATTTCGCGTTATAAACCGTTACAAGTGTTTTATTTAAATGTGTGCTACTTGAGTAAAGTGTAGACAGTGTTTGTATTTTAAAGTTATTTACATTTTTATTTGAATATAGATGTTATTATATTTTGTTTTTCAAGTTAATATAGCGCTTTTATCTATATTAATATATAAGGAATAAGAATATAAATTATTTCCATATTTTGCAGATGATTCAGACTTAGAAAATCTCTCTCAAGAATCCGGATTCGATTCTCGGAGCGGTTCCAGTAGGTTTGATTTCACAGGTAGCCTTTTCCTAATAAATATATAAAAAAAAACCAAGGTTAAATATTTATAAAGCAATTCCTATAGGACCAACAACATTGCGTAGTTCTCAATCAACTGGTAACGTAAGCCAAGCTAAGTCTGCTGCCAGTGTTTTGACTTACCAGAGCTACATGGACGTCAATAACCTTTTAAAACCTGGATCAAGGTTATTTCAGGTATCATATAGGCCCCCCCCCCCCCCGGGCCCCCCCCCCCCCCCCCCCCCCCCCCCCCCCCCCCCCCCCCCCGGCGGGGGGGCGCGGGGGGGCGGCGCCGCCGCCCCCCCCCCGGGGGGGGGGGGGCCCCCCCCCCCCCCCCCCCCCCCCCCCCCCCCCCCCCCCCCCCCCCCCCCCCCCCCCCCCCCCCCCCCCCCCCCCCCCCCCCCCCCCCCCCCCCCCCCGGGGGGGGGGGGGGGGGGGGGGGCGGGGGACACGCGAAAAAAAAAAACACCCCCCCCCCCCCCCCCCCCCCCCCCCCCCCCCCCCCCCCCCCCCGGGGGGGGAAACGAGGAGGGGGGGGGGGGGGGGCGCCCCCCCCCCCCCCCCCCCCCGTTTTGGGGGGGGGGGGGGGGGGGGGCCCCCCCCCCCCCCCCGTGGGGGGGGGGGGGGGGGGGGGGGGGGGGCGCGCGCGGGGGGGGGGGGGGGGGGGGGGGGGGGAAAAAAAAGGGGGGTGGGGGGGGGGGGGGGGGGGGGGGGGCCCCCCCCCCCAACAAAACCCCCCCCCCCCCCCCCCCCCCTTTTTTTTTTTCCCCCCCCCCCCCTTTTTTTCCCCCCCAACCCCAAAAGGGGGTTTTTTTTTTTGGGCTCCCCGTGCGCAAGCCCCGGATGCGACACATAGTATAAGACAAATTAATATCTCTTTTAATCTTTAGAGAAAGCTTTGGGCTACATTTTAAAATTTGATGTTTAGTTTTTGTTGCTAACATTGTTTCTTAAATCTACATTAAACTATAGCTGAGAAGTATAAATTATAATTAATAATATATAAATATCATTAATATTATATACTTCAGTTAATGATAAGGCATTGACTGAAGAATTTGATGCCACGGCCGGAACTCGAACCGACGTCAACAGAGTTCCGTGCTGCTTGCTGCTATAACCAAAAGAGGTATCTTGTCCCAATGTCGAATTTCATCAATACATGAAGGCTGTAGATGCGGGTTCAAGTCCCGCCCATGTCGTATTTTTTTTCAATCTAAATAAATTTTTAATTATGTTAATTAAAAAAAAATGTGAGAAAATTTCCTTGGAATAAGTATTTTTTTCCTAACGCCGTCTTAGAACGGTCGTGGGAACTTACTATTAAATAAATAAATGTATAGTTGAGCTTTATATTGATTAAAACTAAACACTTTTTTTAGGGTTTCGGATATTTGACAAGTATTATAGCCACTTGTAGCTACATTTTAACACTGTACGAAGTCATAACCTTGAACGATTGTCCTGCCATATTTTGGCTACAGACTGTGTCAGATATATTTTTCTACATTAAAATATATTTGTCTATGAACCAGGTAACCCTTATCTCTATTAATTATGAATTGTTTCTATTTTAATTTGTAATAATCATAATACTAATATTACAAAGCTGAAGAGTTTGTTTGTTTGAATGGGTTAATAGCAGAAACTACTGATTGGAATTAAAAATGTCTTCCTATTGGTTAGATCATTTATCGAGGAAGGCTTTAAGCTATAAAACATCACGCTGCGACCAATACGAGCGAAGAAACGTTAGGAAATGAGGGAAAATATCTTTGCGAGTTTCGGTTGCGTGCACTGCGAAAACGGTTAAAGATACTCAAAAAATATGTATGAAGGCATGATTCTTCTTTAAATAATCTATTAAGATTGCTATAACGACGGGACGCAGGCGACGTCGTGGGTAATATTTGGGCATACATTTTGGATGCCTAAAATAACTATTAGTAAAAGTTAGAAAAATAAGCACACATACATATAAGTGTTTACTATATTCTCTTATTTATCAACGGATTCTTAACGATAGACGATAACCATATATCGTGACTAAAGAATACTCCCCTTCGCCAGGGCTATGTGAACAGGCACGGAGAGCTGGTAATGAATTCGGTTAGATGTCGAAAGCGATATTACAAGCATAAATTGTGGCTTTGGAGCGATCTGATCGCTAACTTGCCGCTCGAATTGTTTGGCTTCTGTTTCTCGTAAGCGTTGCCAACTATTTTTAAATTGTTTTAACTTATCACACGCTCCCGTATTTAATTCAAATTGTGCTTGATTGTTTTTTTTTGTATTCTTCGCGAAGGAAAGATGTCGTTAGTTATTTCTTCACTGCGACCTTCATTTGTTTGTTTTTGACACATTTATAGGGCCAGGGGCTCTACGCAAATGTTTTTTTATTGAAATTAATACTGTGTAATCACATTTCAAGGGACGTGTGACCTTCTTGTGAATTATTTTTAACGAAAACCATCATCAATTATTTTATTGTATTGTGTACTTAGTGTCATATGATAAAATAATCTATTAATTATATTTTTTTGTTATATAGCGACAGACAACCTACAAATTTCTTTTATTTGATTCTCCTACTACCAACAATATATAATTTATATTTGCTTAATAATAACTAGCATCTGATGTTACTATTTGTTTGCCTAGTACGGTGTTAAGCGCTAGAGGGTCTGGGTTCGAATCGCGGAAAACATAACACCTTCGTGCTGACAGGGCACGGAAAAATTATCAATTACTACACACAACGGAAGTCGATTGAAACGAACACATAAATATGATGCCCCATACCCCATTTCTATTTCTACTTATTGTTTGTAGTTTAAGCGAACAGTATACATTTACATACAAAATAACGGTTTAAAATGCAAAATAATGTCACTTTTGTGGCAACCACGTGACCACGGCTGCAGCAAAGCGTCAGAAAAGTCGGGTCGTTCTCATAAGTTACCCAATATTGTTATTATAGTTTAAAAATGTTTTGTTTTAATAATTTATTTATTATATCCCCAGGCGTCCACTTTTAGCCATGCACTACCTCCGCATCAATAAATTATTTCGAATCAAATACCTTGTCGAGTTTTATCGAGTAACGTCCGCAGAACTGACCAACAATCTTACCAATCTGCAGGTACATTAAATTTCATTTTATTAAATATTATACATATGATTTTTCTTTGTTACTTCTTACTCGAAAAATAAATAGTAAAAATTAAAATTAACTAATGGATTTCTAGTTTTGAACCCTTAAAAGTGATTTTATCAAATGTATCAGTCTCCCCGTGACCACGGCTGCTGCAAAGCATCCGAAACGTCGGGCCGAAAATAAAAATCATTTCCAAATAAGTTTAAATAATATATCGCGTTTTAAACCGTTAAAGTGTTTTATTTAAAAAATGTATGTATACTACTCGCGTAAACTACAGACAGTGTTTGGTTTCAGACTGCAATGACGGTGTTTATAGTCGCTCTTTTGATTCACACATTCACTTGTCTATGGTTATTGACTCTGATGGCGACTTCGCCGATTAGTATGATTCGGACCCTAAAAATGCACCTTCTAGATGAGTATGGACATCTATTTCCATTCTATAGGTCTTAAATACTCTAAACTATTGAACCTAAATTTCAAAAAACGCTCAAAGAAGCCAATCGTATCTTTAGATTTTAAATTAAATATATTTTATATTTTTCGTTAAATTATTAAAACGATTGTAAGGCTTGAAAATTATTTAATTTATAATCAGCAGCTAGCTAAAAACAAATGAATATACAAAATTTCCCAATAAAAACTATTTCAAATGTATATTAACTATTAACTTAAAATAAAATTACAGAGACACACCACAAAGACGTTGGGACTACACAACGTCCTTCTACATAGTGGTGTCAGAGTTAACTTCAACTGGAGGTGATGAATTCGTCGTGAACGAAGGACTTTCGATGACTATTCTAGCAATCTGTCTAGTATGCGGCAAAATGCTGGCAGCCATTGTTGTAGCTACGTCCATACAAATCGCCTTTTCCTCGAAATACGCACTAAATAACTACGAGCAGGCGACAACAGAACTCATTGATTATTTGAAGAACCAAGGTCTATCAAGTGAGTGTTCTTGAAGGCGTAATCGTATCCAAATTTCACTAACTTTGTTCATACTTTGATGGATTGTTCTAGAATACCAAATTAAAAAGTTCTGGACTTACGTACGGCAGCTTTGGGTGAACGAGAGAGGTAGACAGGTATTTTTCTACTTTTATTACTATGGACGTTACTCATATAGGAATTTCCAGCACTAGGACTTAGGCTAGGTGAGCATGTGTCAGATTGTATGAAAATATTGTAAGAATCGTTTGGACATCAAACTCACATCAATAGAAGTCAAATGGAATTTAGTTGGTGTTTCGCATTCTACCTTGGTCACAATGGTAATACAATCAAAAGTATTTTTTTTTGTTTCAAACGTAAACAATTTTCGTCATATGTCACAATTGCCAGCAAATTTAATTATCATCTCCTATAATATGTACTTTATTATTATAATTAACTTTAATATTGTAATTACCATGAATAAAAAATATAATGTTTTTAAATTATTTTTTGCTTATTATATTAATTAAAGCCTCAATGACTGTATGGTTGATCGCCGAGCATAATCACAAGGTCGTTTCGGCCAGGCTGGGCAAAGAAATGTGTCAAATGCCTAGATAGGAAAATGGGATTTCACTATTCTGTTTCTTAGCTACCTGTGCTCATAGCAAAAACCCCTTATGTTCTACGATGCGACCTTATGTCGGCGATGTTCGGTCAACATTTGCGGAATTGTTACATTTTCGCTGACACGGGGGAACCATTTCTTCGTCAGCTCACTGTCGTCTTGGATTATAAAGTCTATTTTCCTGGTACGTAACTAGCAAAAAAACTGTATGAACATTTAATGAATTTTTGATCCATGTTGGATTTTGGATGTAATATTTATTATATTACTATTGAAATACAAAAAAAGTAAAGTCTTTATTCTACCATTAACTTTAACGCTGCATATTTAAAAATACTAATAAAAAAAATGTTTGTTCAGTATGTTTTAAGGGTATTAATAATAATATTCTGCTCTTTCGTTATTAAAACTTTTAGTACCATATAGTTACAAAAATAATGTAAAAAAATATTGAAATTAGAACTTTGTGTTACCCATGCGGTATAAAGTACTGATATTAGCGAATGATTTCCGACCGCTTTAAAGCTTTTTAATATTTGTATATTTACAATTTAGAAATACATCAGTGCAACAGAGACAAAAATATGGCCTGATACATAGAAAAGTTCTGGTATATTCTAGGTAACTATATCGTGGTAGCTGGCGATAGTGAAGCTCGCATGCACTGGGTTGCTAGTGGCACAGTTGTTGTACTCTCAGTAAGGACAGACTTAACAGAGACCACACACGAAATCTTAACTACAGGAGACGTTTTTGGTATAATGCAAGGATTGAATAGAGGAATTTCTCATTCGTTCTCATATCGGGCTGAAACTAAGGTATATATTTACTGTACTTTAGCAGAGTACTAGCTGGAACATCACGAAGAGTTAATTGAGGATATTTGAAAAGTATCATTACATTTTTTATAAAACACATATGCGTATATATGTTTTATTAAATTCACGTCACAGTAAACTACGTTGCATTGTCTGTAGTTATGTGTATATACACAATACACTCAAAACGCGATATATATTATTATTTATTAAATAATTTTTATTTAATTAAACTCCGGCCCGACATTTCGAATACCTTGCAGCAGTGGCTATGGAGGTTGTAGCAATTTAAACTGTTTACAAGTGTTGTATTTAAAAGTGTACTCATCATACTAATAATAGGGCATAGAATATCTTACCTTTTTTGAGACAGAAAAGGACAGTCAAGCATGGGGATCTCTTGATGGGAGGATAGCCTAGCAATATAACATCTAAACGAAATGCGTTGACGATCTATTTAACTTTGGACATTTAGCAATCTACAGATATTTTCTATGTAAGAAGAAGAATCACTGCAGCATGTTTATTATTTCAGGTTGGAATATTGACACTGGGCTTGGATTCTTGGATCAACATCTTGCCTTTTTTTCCGGAGTCTCAAAGAATCATATCAGAACGATCCGAAGTTTTGTTTACGCAAATATAAATCGGAATGTAATAAATGACAATTTTGAGAGCAAATAAATATCTACAACACCTTTGGCTGTCTTAAATACATCTAGTTCTTAAACGTTCTACAATACTTAAAAACAAACAGAGTAAATACAATACAATAATGTATTATTATTATATTTAACACAGTAAAAAAAATCTTTTTTACTAATATTAATATATTTAAATAAAATACTTTAACGGTTTACAACGGGATATGTAATAGTTAAACTTATTTGAAAATTATTTTAACGGGAAGTATCCCCGTGTCCACGGGTGCTGCAAAGCATCCGAAACGGGCAGTTGTTAAAATAATTTTCAAATAAGTCTAATAATATAAATCGCGTTTTAAACCATTAAAAGTTTTATTTAAATGTTTACTCGCGTAAACTACGGACACTATTTAAAATTAATATGTTATTTTTAAAAGTATTATGTGATAAAAAATTTTAATTAATACATAAAACTTCATGTCCCATGGTAAAGGACAACGAATTACAAAGTAAGAGGCCTAAATAAACAATGGAAAAAGTTAAGTCTAATTTCATCCAATCTTTCCTTGCGAAATTGTTAATCTTCAAACATTCGTATTATTAGCCAAAAAATTCCCTAATAATACTAATATTAAAAATGTTTAGGTACTTCGAAGTTTCGGCAGTTTCTTAGAATGATGAGGAAAGGAATCGAATTAGGACGAGAAAAGTTTGTATTACTTTCTTTTAATATCGAGGGTTCATGCTAATTATGCCGAGTTGATGAGAAATATTCTGTTAATTATAAATTACAGATACAAGGAAGAAAAAGTGAGTAACAAGGGATTTCTTGTTATTTAACAATGTTTTTTAGAATGTTTTTTACCTATCATTTGATAGGTAAAAAACATTCTAAAAAACATTGTTATTTTGAATACGATGACTTTATAAAAACTATTTTTGATTCAAAAAAGGTAATGACACTGAACGGTTCTGGGTATTCGAGTTTTGAGAGAAAAATGTTAGTATTTTTCTTATTTCCGAGATCATATTTATAAACAAAAGACTAGCTGATCCGGCAAACCTAATTTTCTCGTTTGCAAGATTTAGATTATTATGTTGATACAAGTGACAAACAATTAGTAATAGTGTGTAAATTTTTACCAAATTTGATTACCAAAGACGGTTCTTGTGAATTCATCTTATAAGATAGACATAGACTATAGCTATAGATGATTTGTTTTCTCAAACCATTTCTGCAGCACACGCAACGGAAGTCCTAAAAGATCTTGCTCCTATTCGGTGGAGCGAAGCTTTGTAATATGCTTTTAAATAATTTATAAAAATACAAACAGAAAAAGCTCATAACATAGCATGCTAAAGAAGCTTAACCAACTAAATTCAATAATAATCTTGATCGTACTCGTACGTGATTGATCTTGTTATTGCTTCAACTTCTTAATCTCATCCTGCCATCTAGTTTAATCCGATTGCTTCTAATCCATAATCGGCTTATGAACGTTCTGTGAGAAATTAATTGTTATATTTCTTTAGATTAAAAAAGATTTGACCAATCTTGGAATTTTTATATTTTTTATTGTCATTAACTATGGTAACAACAAATTGTATTAAATATTGCAGTCTTATTACATGGCACACGATGGTGTTATATAAATAAACAATATATTTAGATTGATAAAAAATTATGACAAGGTCGGGACTTGAACCGGCATCCGCAGCCTTCTATGCTGTTGCTCTAACTAAATGCGGGCCCTAGAGCCAGAGTAATCAAACTGTACTTTTATGACTTGACTTATTTATATTTTTATAGTCTAAAAATGGTCTACAAGAACACAAAGACCAAAAATTGTTAACATAATTCGTACACAAATCGTAGGCCAAATTCATTTTCGCCTAAATTAATTGCGCATTTATTTTTCCTCCTTATTGAAAAACTTGTTTTTTTATTATTAAGCTACTCTGCCTCTAGCCGCCCCATTTGAATTACCATGTATTTTTTTCGAAAATAAATAGATTTTCATTTTGATCAATTTATTTAAAAAGCCTTGTATTTCCAACTTAAAATCAACGCTGACTTATAAGTGATTCAGTTTTCTTCCGATCACATTTCGGGTTGGGGCTTGACTAAGTTTATAATAAATAGACAAAATTATATCATTGAAACATTTTATTTGTAGATACGTAAACAACAAAACACTTAAATCTATCGAGGAACAAACTTTACACTAGCTCCATCTATCGGAGCTAGAACGATACTGTATGGATCACTTTTCAGTTTGTATGGCATGACAGGTTCAATTTTAAACTTGTGAACTATTTGACTTAAGGCAATCTTCAGCTGTAACATTCCGTAGCGTTTACCTGAAACAAAAAGGGATAAATTAAGGCCGCTAGAGGCAGAGTAGCCTAACTGCAATTTATGTCTTGACTTATTTATATTATTATAGTCTAAAAATGTTATCAACAAGAGCACAGTGACCAAAAATTGTTAACATAATTCTTACACAAACAATAGAACAAATTCATAACCTAAGTTGCACATTTTTATTTTTCACCTTATTGAAAATCATGTTCTTTGTTAACAGCCTTAATTATAACGCGCTATATATTAAGGTCATTGTTCGAAATTGACTTATATCGGCAGTAATAGTACAGTAATCTACTATACATATACTACCCGTAGTTTACACGACAAGTGTTTTTTAAGGATAGAGAAGGACAGAGAGAGGTTTACTTAATTGTAGGTGAAATACCTACAATCAAATGAAAGCCTAAAGCACTTAAACGAGATGCGCTGTCGACCTAATTCGGCTTTCGATATCGGAAATCCACAGACTGAAACCGAAACGCGATTAAGCTACACGGCTTTTTCATTTGTGGACGGTGGTTTGTTACCCGGACAGAATTTCGATATTCTTACCACCATTTATATCCAGATTTCCAAACGAAATCCAACATGTTGCAGAAAAATTATAAATTGTTAAGGGCCCAGTGGGATTCGAACCCACGGCCCGTTGTTATTACCCGTACAGTGATTGCATACACATAAACTTTTAAGGTTGAAAACGCGAAACATATAACTCATTCGAAATTTATTTTAACTACAGTCGTGGTCATGGATCTCTCTGATGTCGAAGTAAAAGCGGAGTCCTCTCGTTTCTCGCTGTTTGTAAGCTAGGGTTTTTAAATTGCAGTAAAACGAAAAAAATTCGCGTTCTAAACAGTTTAAAGTGTTTTATTTAAATCTGTACTCAGTGCTTTTGATCGGCCACCGTTGTAGTTGTAGTCATCGTTTTTAATTGCGCTTAGCATTTAGATCACTACGTCGTAGATAGAACAAGATTCGTGACTCGACCACTAATCTACACAATTATATTACCTATACAAGCCCGGTGTCCTTCCCCAAACGGTATAAAGGAGTAATGCAAGTTGTCATATTCGGACGAGGTCAAAAATCTCTCTGGACGCCACTCGTTGGGCTCCGGAAAGTATCTTTCATCGTGGTGCAGAGCTAACACGTTGATCAAGACTGGAATCCCCTTTTCTATCGTTATGTTATCTGTCAGTTGGTAGTCTCTAACTGGTACTCTGTCCAAATGTTGCAGAGGAACAGACTTGCGTAATGTTTCTGCAATGAGAGAAAACTTACGGTTACATTTAAATAAAACATATTTAACGGTTGAAAACGCGAAATGTATGGACCACGGTTGCTCCATAGCACCACAAACATCGGGCCGTAGTAAATATCACTACTAATATTAAAAATGCGAAAGTAACTCTGTCTGTCTGTCCAGCTTTCACGCCGAAACTACTGGACCGATTTAAATGAAATTTGGTACACAGATATTCTAGAGGCTGAGAAAGGACATAGGCTTAATGCCAAAAAACAAACAAAATTCAAACAAACATTTCTGCTTTATAATATTAATATAGATTGACCATCTTATTTGGTTAGTGTAGAAGAACTGTGTAATCAAACTTAAACAAGATGTTCGATGATGTGTTCGTCATAAATATGATATTTTTCTTGTGTGTCTCAAATTGGAAAAAAATGAGACATACAATAATTGTGTAAAAAAACCTGTTCTTCCTTGACATCTATAAAACATTCACCATTAATAACAGCAGTGAGGTATTTTAATTCCAGGAAATCGTTGTATTCCAAAATATCTTTTCCTGATTTTCTCAGAGCTTCCTCGATCTCATTATACAGTATTTCCTGAAATAAAAGTATTATAATTGTATTGATAATGTCGTTTCCTGATTACAGGCATTCATTTAAATTTTCACATTTTATTTGGCTTCTGAAAACAATATATTCAACTAGCTGTGTCAGCGACTTCATCCGCGTAGATTAGTTATCTTTATAAATTTAAGCTGTAATCCACGATGTCAATCACGCGTTCAGCCGTTCTTGCACGTTAATTTTAAAAGATTTAGTGTCGCGGATTTTTTTTAGATCATTTAAAGAGGAATCATTCTTTAATATATATTTTTTTGGGTATTTAACACCGTTTTTGCAGCGAACGGGAACCTACAAAGAATAATAATTTTCCCTGTTTTCTTCACGTTTCCCTTTGCTTCTATTGGCTGCAGCGTGATGTTCTATATATTGTATTTCCCAATAAATGCTCTAACCAACAAAAAAGGTGTTTTCCAATTAGACCCAGTAGTTTTTAGACTACCGCGTTCAAACAAACAAACAAACTCTGCAGCTTTATAAATTAGTACAGATAATATAAAAAAATGTATTTTGAAAAAAAAAATAGTCGGTTTTATGTACTAGTTGATCTAACTTCCGCATCTTTTACATTTTTTTCTCCAGATTCGAACCCGTGACTTTCGTATGCCTTAAAGCAATGCCACGCAATGCAGGTTTAATGCACGTAACTTACGATACAGCTCCCGTCCTCATATTTCAAGGTCAATAACTCTCCAACCTCCTAAGGTCGCTATAAATAGCTACGAACCTGCTCCTCTTGGTGATAAGCCAACTCGAAGAGGCAATAGGTGAGTGCAACTGAACTAGTTTCTGCGGATGCCATTATAAAGGTACCAGTTTGAGCAAGCATTAGGTTTTCACTCATATTATCTATAATAAAAGACAGTTAAGCTTTACAAAATATTATTTGAAAAATGTTACATTTAAAAATAGTAACCCGATACGTATTATCACAAATATTTACACTCTTCTGACTTCATGAGGAATATACAGCAAGGATCAAAGTTTTATCATTTTAAAACATTCGACAATTGAAGTGAAAAAAAGTTAAAAGAGACAAGTCTTAAAAAAATGTCGTTACATTTACGTGGACTGGTTTAATATTTAAAATTTAAGTACCCTTAACTAATGTCTAACTAACTAATTAATTTAATTGAACATTTATTTTTAATAGCAACGTTTCAACGCATAAAATTAACACTCACAAAAAAAATTGAATTACTTTTGTAGTTCTTAGTTTTTGCCGGTTTTGTTTATTAAGATGTTAATGTTAAATTATGTATTTTCTATTTTTATTAATGGGCCTTTAGAATAGAATAGAATGAATTTTTAGCCGTTTCCAATGAAATCAATTATACATGTTAATGTCTGAATTTACACATATAGATTTATTTCGCAAAACATGACATACATAAAATACTGTCTATACTGTTTACGCGAGTAGTACACATTTAAATAAAACACTTTAACGGTTTAAAACGCGATATATTAGTTAAACTTATTTGGAAATGATTTTTAACTTGGCCCCACGTTTTGGATGCTTTGCAGAGCCGTGGTGTCTCCCGTGATCACGGCGGCATCCGAAACTGGCCGAAGTTAAAAATCATTTCCAAATAAGTTTAACTAATATATCGCGTTTTAAACTAAATTTTTATATAAAAGGGGAAAAGTTTTTAGAGGACAGTCAAAATGGATTTACTTAATGGTAGGTAAATATAATTAAAATTTAAATTTGATAGTAACAAAATATTATTTTACATTAAGTAAATGTAAATGAGAGAATTAGGGTCTTACCCTCGTAACCACTAGCACTAAATTTGTCTATCAATTTGTGAAAATAGTCCACTAAATCCGAATCATTTATCTCTCCGGTTTCTTGGCGAATTTTCACAACAGAGAAAAACACCTTTTTTTAAAAAGTCGGTCGCCGGCCCCGAAAAGAATTTCATTCTAAAACAAACACAAAATCTATGATCATAGTTAAAATCCAAGTAGACCAATTTAACAATAAGACAATGTGGTACTACTTTTCAATTTTCAAATTTTTCCTTCTATTGCTATAATTTGTCTATGTGAAATCCCTTCCCATTTTTCAATAATTTTTTTTTACAGGCAAGTAATGATAAGTTTACGAATCCACCGAACAATTGTCTTTTCATGGGATTGAAAGGGCCTCTCGCGTTACCTTTCAATTTTAAAGTTATCTGAGCATTCTTTGAACTCACCGCAAAAGTTTTGCAAGACTCGGGATGAAGAAAATTGACAATTATTTCAAATCCGCGCGAAAAGTCGCATTTCGTTATATGTTTTGTGATGTGCCAAAGTGGTGAGTCTTCGCCTTTTAACACGCTTAGTTTTATACCAAACACGCTAAAGGCTAATGTGTCAGAGACGTACATTGCCATTAGTTCCTGTAAAGTTCGAAAACTCTTGTTAACACACGAACATATTGTACAGACAAACAGACAGGCAAAACAAATGAAATGTTTTTCATTTGTTTTGCCTGTCGTGTAGGGAATGGTAGCAATGTATGGCTAAGAACGAACTTCAACGGGTCTAAATTTTCTAATGAATTTATTATATATTTAAATGAAACACATTGAAAAACATGTTTTTGTGTTACCCTTGTTATCAATTTTATTGTAAATCTCCATCTTAAAGTTGCCTGGAGAAATTGCTTTTAAGCGATAGGCCGTCCGCTATATATTTGTAATATGTTCAAAATAAACTTAATGAATTTGTGGTGACTGTAAAACATTTTTTTATCGTTGGAAAAATTGTTTTTTGCACAGACAGCTAAAACAATTTTTTTATTAAAGTTCCCCAAATAAATATATTTCTGCATATTTGAACTAGCTGTAGCCGCTGTTCATTTTATAACTAAGAATATCCTTAGAACTCTTGCATGACTAGCCGTGATGCAAGTAGACAAGAAATAAACGATTTTCAAATACCTGTTCGATTGGGCATATAACCTTTACGAAGCCATAATTTTATGTAAGGCTTAGCGCCAGCTTTGGTAGTCAAATAATTTAAGAAGATGACGTATTTATACTTATTTTTCCATGTGAACAGTGCTTTGTCACTCGTAATTATGATTCCTTTCGAATCTATTTAATGGTACCATTATATGGCTAAAATCAACGGGTCAACATGTTGGTCGTCTAGACATGGATTTTAATGACATGAACCATTGTCCAAGAAAAAACCCGTAAGTGTAATCGCTTTACGGTCTAGTCTGTGGATTTCGAATATCCAAAGACAAATAGGTCGACACCACTGTGTAGATATTTTTGACCAGTGTTTTCATTACCATGAACGTTGTTAAAAAATATGAAAAAATATCTTACACTGAAAAGCAGTTAACAACTGGAAATCGTTTTTGTTTTAAATTTGGTGTTAAAAAGTTAATATACCAACATTAACTTCGTAAGAACGTTAGTAAGGTCAGCTAGCCATATATTTATACTGTCTATAGTCTACGCGAGTATACACATTTAAATAAAACACTTTACCGGTTTAAAACGCGAATATTAGTTTTAACTTCGGGCCACGTTTCGGATGCTTTGCAGCACACGTGGTCTCCCCGTGACCGTTAAAAATTATTATCAAATAAATTTAACTTATATATCGCGTTTTAAACCGTTAAGCTGTTTTATTTAAATAGTTATATATATATTAATCATTCTAAAGCTATATAATGTTAGTATATTTTAATTGAATTCAAATGTACCTTCAAATTCACCCTCTTCTTATTGTCGACGAAATCTCTCTGAATTTTATCTGTAAGGTCTTTACCGTTGACGGTCATCAATTGCGTTAATTTCTTTAGACGAACTGTTGTGAATATCGGAGAATAGACTTGCTGAAGATATTTTCGTAACTTTCCCTATCAAAAAAGAAGTAAATATTAGATTATTGATGAGCAATGATACTATTCTGAAATGATGTAACGTTTTTTTAAATAAAAAAACTCTTAACTCATATCTTTATATGAACTATTTCGACACGTAAATCGATTTAAGTCACTACTAATATTATACATGTGAAAGTAACTGTGTCTGTGCGGTTTCACTCCGAAACTACTGAACTAATTTTAATGAAACCCAGACATTCTAGAGCCTGAGGAAGGACATAGGCTACTTTTTAATGCCAAAAAGAGGGTTGAAAAGGGGAAATTCGTGATTTTTGAAGCTAGAACAATGAAACTTTTTTGGTAATTTGGGAATGGGAGTGAGAGTGGAAGTGAGAATGGGAGTTAGAGTGAGAGTGATGTGAGGTGAGAGTGGGAGTGTTGTGGCAAAGTAGCACTTACAACACAGATTGGCTGCCATGAATGCGCCTTTTTCGGTGACATGCATTGTAAAACCTTTTGCTGTACGAAAAAAGGCAGTAAGGGGCTGAATGAGGTATGAAAAGTTGTGTGGATGTATCGTAATTAATTTTTATAGAACTTAATAATATTATATATGCGAAAGTAACTATGAAAGTCAAATAAGCATATAAAATACCATGGATATACTTATTATGAATTAATAAGCTATTTTCAGTGAAGTATCTTATTGAGTACACGTGTGTCTTATTAAATTTATAAAATCAAAAATACAGCCTAAAATCTACCCAAAGTTATTATTCCACATGGACCTAATCGCGGGCACAGCTAGTATTTAATAAAAGCATGCCTATTGAGCATATTTACGCGAGTAGCCTCGCGTAAACTACCCACATTTTTTATATTATTATTTTACGACTCCTCTCGAAAACTGGTATTAATATGATGGTAAATTTATATATTTCACCTTTATAGTGAATTTTTATTTACCACATAATTAATTCAATCTGACAAAAATCATATCATCATAATATGAATAAAAATATATGAAATTAACACGACAATATCTTTAATATTTACATCGAAACAACGTGTTAACATATAATTCTTTATCTTAGATTATTAGTGCACACGTGGTAAACATTAAATATTCAACATCTAGTATGTTTATTAGCTATGTGTGACCTTTTTAACTAATATTGCTCAACACAGAGAAGTCTACTAGGTTACAAGCAGTGGTTTCTACACTCAAATAAACACACTTTCAACTTGAAATCAATATCTTGGGACAAAATCTTCTCATAGCTCAATTTAATAATCTAATTAAACGGAACTGTAAAACGTTAAAATGTATTTTTTAATACAGCTTGTATTTTATCTTATTATATATTGCACTAATGTTAATAGTTAAATAATGATTTTGTATGAAAAACACTTTAAACGACTCACCTTACTAGCGAATAGGTTTAACGAACCAATAGGATCGCCATTTGACCCAGAATAGGTAAATCTATCCGGAAAACAATCCGAGTCCACAATAACTTTCCTGGCTAAATCGGGAGACTGCACCACGAGCCCTGGCTGCAGCCCCAAATATATACCCACACAATCGTAGGGGCATTTCTGCTTCAGTTCATAGAAATAATCCCAGAAGCTCTTTCTCATAATAAAACTTAAATTCCCAACAATGAACTTGGGATCTTCATGCGCGACGCCACGGTCTTTCCAATAGTTATATCGTTTTCGTATCACCCAATAGAATCGAGCGGTAATTAAAATAATTAAAAATAAAAATAGCGACGCCGTTAACATTATGCGCGTCTTGTTCGCTGCGTTGATAATACAAATTCAATGCGACTGCTCAGAAACTCGTTCCTTCCACCGCTTTAAGCATTTTTATTGTCGCGTTTTATTGGCTAATTGGTTATTATGAATTAAAAAACGACAACAGTTTGAAAAAATCGATGTCACGGGCGGTATTCGAACCGAAAATTACAGTATACTGTAGTTTTCGGTTCGAATTTCGAGTTATCGGTTTTTTTATTTATAAATAACCAATGTCCAATAAATACCTTTACATTGTCGATATAAAATTTATGTACTTTATTATAACCGAACAATTTAGATCACTTGTCTTTAGCGAAGTAAACAATCATTTAGTTTTATTAAGACCGTAATATCAAAATTACTTTATCTAAGATAGGAATAAGTATTGACAATAAGGATAAACTAAAGACGTTTCTGAATCAATTTTAATATTTTGTATGTTTGTATATCATTAGAGATGCATGTCTTTTCTAATTGAGCCGGTAAGAAATACTAAACTCAGGCCGCAGATTTAAGTTCGTCACGACTACATGATGCAAGGATATCAAGTTAAGTTGATGGACGTCACAACAAAGGAGAGCAAATTCTTCCATTTTGGAATTATCCGCTTTAAGAATTTTTGTCCTTAATGATACTAAAAAATATACGATTACCTAAGATATTTTTTTTCATTTAAATTTATTCTCCCAAAGGTAAAGAATAAGCTGGACGAATTAGTAATAGTATTCATTTGTATATATTTTTTAACAGAATAATAAATTATCTTATTGAACAATCACTAAATTACCTAAATTACTTATTTACAATGAAAAATAAATGCACGCGTTAAATGTGCATTGCCGAATCCTTCTAGTGTTAAGTAAAATACGGTTCATGTTAAGTGAAAGCTAAAAGTTGATTTTGGCTTTAATATAAGTAAATAAATGTACTTTGATTTGATTTGAAGTTCTTATATATTATGTATCGTAGTTATTTTAAATATGAAAAAAAAGGTTATTTCAAAAAGGTCATAATTACCGGATATTTTTCTCATCCGTTCCTCATATATGGTTCCTCACATATTTTTCACGCAACGGAAATGAGTCATAATGATGTGTTTTGTTATTGAATTGTTCATTTTGTCATCAAGGTCACTTTTGTTACTTTCCGTTTGATAAAAACTTTTTTATTCTGTAAGCCTTAGTTTACAAAATACCTAGGAACCAGAATAGTTTTGGATTGTGCAATATTTTTAAGTGAGATACTGACTGAAAAAAGTTAATTAATTACCATAACAGGATGTCATACTATTATTATCATTATTTTCTATCAGGGACACCTGTGGTAGGACGGGTGATCAGTCCACGTTATCAGCCGACCATTTCACCCATTTCCCCATTTCCTCCATGCAGTGGTTTTGGGTCATCCAACTCTCCCCATGTCCATTTTTCCATCTGTAGTTCTTTGATGTCATCTTCTGTAACTTCGTCCGAACCCATATGTATTTGTCTTAGTCTCGAGTACGCAGAGCATTCAGTGAGTAGATGGATGCCTGTTTCCTCACTTTGCTCTGCACTCCGGACATAGGGGGTCGCTGCCTATTTCTATCAATGTAAGATGTATATTTAGACGGCAATGTCCTGTTATGATTTCTACGATGAGTCGGATATTCGCTCTCGTTAGTCTCATCGGGTTTTTGCTCTTCTTTTTTTTCTAGAGAATGTATGAATAAAACGAATTTAAACCGTTACTATTGTGTCATTTAGATATTGTACTTACCATATTGTAATAATATTGTAAAAGGCATAGAATCTATAAATATTTTTGATATAGAGTAAGACAGTCAAGCATGAGGTTCCGGTGATGGATGGTAAAACAGCCCAGTCATATAACATCTAAACTAAATGCACTGACAACCTGCTTTGGCTTTGGACATTCAGGAATCCAAATCCTTAATTTTATTTTTGCAATTCCTTTGTTCGTTAGATTCTTGGATCAACACCTTGCCCTTTTTCCCGGAGTCTCAAAGAATCATATGAGTTTTGTTTACGCAAATTTAAATCGGAATGAAATGTCAATTTTGAGACCAAGTAAATGTCTATATTATCTTTGTCTCTCTTAATTTCCTCTATCAAAGTACAAAACATTAATACAATATTTATTTTATTTTTATTCTATTACAAAATACACAGAGAATTACAATAAACCAAAACATAATATGTATCTGTAATCTATGAGGTGTAACGGACGGCCTTATTGCTATTAAACGATCTCTCAGGCAACCCTTCTTAGGACTACATTCTTATTACACTGATTGATGATTTTAACTTCGGCCCGACGTTTCGGATGCTTTGCATCATTTTAAAAAAAGTTTAACTAATATATCGCGTTTTAAACCGTTATGCGATGGAAAGGGCTATGCTCGGAGTTACCCTGCGTGATCGAATCAGGAATGAGGAGATCCGAAGGAGGAGTGGAGACCACGTACCCGACGTCGAAAACCTGGACGACCTCCTACCAGGTGGACCAACGACCCGGTCAAGGTAGCAGGATAACGTTGGATTCTACTAGCGAACGACCGGTCGAACCGGAAGTCTATGGGGGAGGCCTATGTCCAGCAGTGGACACAAAACGGCTGAATCGAATGCCATCAAATAGTCAATTAAGGATGTATAGAAGCTTAATGAACTAAATTCAATAATATTGATATTGCTTGATATTGCTTAATCGTAAACTGCAATTCGTGATTAGTCTCATCATTGCTTCAACTACTCAATCCTCATTAATACCTGCCATCCAGTTTAATTCGATTGCTTCTAATCTATAATCGGCTTATAAACGTTCGATGTGATATCTATGGTACATTTCTTAAGATTGACTAACATTTGATATTGGACCAATCTTAAAATTTATACAAGTTATACGGTTAACACGATTAGATAAATGATCACATTAAAAAACTTTAGTCTTTTTTTAATGGCACATGATGGTAGTATATAAATTAACAATCTATTTAGATAAATTAAAGAAAATGACTTTGGCAAGACTTGAACCGGCATCCACAGCTTCCCAGATGTATAAACTGAAAATCTATTTAGATTTTCAGTTTTATTCATTAGTTTGGAAAATATTTTACCAATCAATTTTATTAATCAACCAATCCGGGTTCAGGCTTGATAAAAAATATACACATTGAAGAATTACAAATTTTATTTGTAGATACGTAAACAAAAAAAAAACATCATATTATTGTCTTTCGGGCTGTTCGGCCGATGTGAGCGAGAAGAGGTTCTCGACGTTTCGCCATCACGTGTGGACGGCATCTTCAGGAGATGTTGACTCCTCGATTGCTCGAAGAATTGTGAGCAATCTTCTCTCAATTCTTCGAGCAATCGAGGAGTCAACATCTCCTGAAGATGCCGTCCACACGTGATGGCGAAACGTCGAGAACCTCTTCTCGCTCACATCGGCCGAACAGCCCGAAAGACAATAATATGCTGATCGATGGCCGTGAAAGCCTTACTCAATTTAAAAAAAAAAACACTCATATCTATCGAGGAACAAACTTTACACTAGCTCCATCTATCGGAGCTAGAGCGACACTGTATGGATCACTTTTCAGATTGTATGGCATGACAGGTTCAATTTTAAACTTGTGAATTATTTGACTTAAGGCTATCTTCAGCTGTAACATTCCGTAGCGTTTACCTGAAACAAAAAGGATTTATTAGAATAATGCGCTAGATATTTAGGTCATTGTTCAAATTGATTTGACATATGTCTGCAGTTATTGTGAAAAAATTGACAATACATAACTAGTGTAATTAACGCGAGTAGTTTACTATGACATAAAACACTGTTACACAAACAGTTTAAAACGCGAAATATATTTATTAAACTTATTTACAATTTTTAAATACGGCTCAACGGTTCGGATGCTTTGCAGCAGCCGTGGTCACAGAGAGACTAAGGTAATGCCATTTTTTTAAATCTAACGTTTTTTTTAAATATAGGAGTTTAAATAATGTATTTCGTGTTTTAAACCGTTTTAAGTGTTGTAATTAAATAAGTACTACTCGCGTGAATTGCACACAGTACTCAAAATACTTTGATCGGCAGCTCGTTATAGATCACTGCTTTTAATTGCGACTAGGCACAGACAAAATAGATCAAGAAAATCAAATCCTTTTGTCCATTCCACGCTCCAGCGAGAACAAGATTCGTGACTCGACTACTGCACAATTATATTACCTGTACAAGCCCGGTGTCCGTCCCCAAATGGTAGAAAGGAGTAATGCAAGTTGTCATATTCGGAAGATGTCAAAAACCTCTCTGGACGCCACTCATTGGGCTCCGGAAAGTATCTTTCATCGTGGTGCAAAGCTGCCACGTTGATAAAGACAGGTGTCCCTTTTTCTACCGTTATTTTATCTGTCAGTTGGTAGTCTTTAATTGCTACTCTGTCCAAGTGTTGCATAGGCACAGATTTGCGTAATGTTTCTGTAAATAAAACTTAAGGTTAGATTTAAATAAAACAAGTTAAACGGATTAAAACGCTGTATGGACCACGGCCACTTCAAAGCATTTCAAACATCAAGCCGTAGTAAGAATAAATTGTAAATAAGTTAACTAACATTTCGCGTTTTTGGCCGTAAAAAGTATTTCATTTAAATGTGCTTCGCGAAAACTACATACGCTAGTTAATATTAGACGATAATGAACTTCGCATCTTTAATAGAGACAAGAAAGAGTTGCTTTTGATCATTGTCTCATATAAATGCACTAGCTGTGCCAATGACTTTGTCCGCACAGGACAGTTATTTTGCATTGCTCTAACCAACACAAAAATATTTTGTCAATTCGATCTAGTAGTTCCTGAGATTAGCGCGTTCAAACAAACACTCTTCAGCATTATATATTAGTATAGATTTACCATTTATTACAGCAGTGAGGTATTTTAATTCTAGGAATTCGTTGTATTCCAAAATATCTTTTCCTGATTTTCTCAGAGCTTCCTCGATCTCGTTATACAATATTTCCTGAAATGAAGGTTGTTTCATTGTATAAATCATATCGTTTCCTGATTGCAGGCATTCCATTAAACTTTTACATTTTATTACGTTGCCAAGGAACTCAACATATATTATTTTGCCTTCTAAATCAATTCTCTATATCATTTAAGTTTAAATCAATGTCAGTACTGCGCCATAGCTTAGATAATAATTAGCAAATGGAAAATAATGTTATAAATGTATATGAATACTGTATTTTTAAAAATTGAACTAATAAGGGAATAAATTTTATTATTTACATGTAGTTGTCAGTTCCGCATCTTGCCTGACCAAAAATTTTCAATTTTTTCTCCGGTATTCGAACTTGTGACCTCTACGCGTGCTACGCAATGCCGCAGAGCCGGGTAAATGCACGTAACTTTCAACACGTAACTTTGTCAAGGACTTTGTTTGTTATAAGCGCGTAACTAACAGCGGGTCAATAACTCTCCAACCTCCTAAGGTTGCTATAAATAGCTACGAACCTGCTCCTCTTGGTGATAAGCCAACTCGAAGAGGCAATAGGTGAGTGCAACTGTACTGGTCTCTGAGGCTGCCATTATAAAGGCACCGATTTGAGCAAGCATTAGGTTTTTACTCGTATTATCTGAAATAAAAGATAGCTAAGCTTTACAAAATATTATTTGAAAAATGTTACACTTGAAAACTGTCACTTCGTGCGCATTCCTCATAAGGAATTTACAATTAGTATCAAAGTTTTATCACTTTAAAGCATTCTATAATTAAAAAAAATTAAAAAAAAGTAAAATCTTAGTAAAAATTGTTGATGCCACATTTATGTTTGATATTTAAAATGCAAATAACTATAACTAGTGTCAGTCAACTTTAGTAATTTAATTATTTTAATTGCTTATTAATTACTTTAATTTATTTTTAATAGCAACGTTTAACGGTTTAAAATGCGATACAATAGTTAAACTTTTTGAAATGATTTTTAACTTCGGCCCGACGTTTTGGATGCTTTGCAAATGGCAGCGTGCCGTGCAGCCGCAGACTAAAGATGTCTTCGAGGATGTCGTCTGATGTATCAAAGTTCAAATTGTTTTCCGTAAATTGCTGTTTTTTGATTTAATTTTAAACATCCATTCCGTCGAAGTTGGTATTTGGCGAAACTGGCCGGGTCCTTGCAGAATTGTCGCCAAATACCAACTTCGACGGAACGGACGGCGGTAAAAAATTGCTACGCTAGAATTTTTTACTTTGACGTCAGAGACATCCTCCATCTTTAGTCTCCCCGTGACCACGGCTGCTGCAAAGCATCCGAAACATCGGGCCGAAGTTAAAAATCATTTCCAAATAAGTTTAACTAATATATCGCGTTTTAAACCGTTAAAGTGTTTTATTTAAATGTGTACTACTCGCGTAAACTATAGACAGTATTTAATAGCAACGTTTTAACGAATAAAAGTTATTGCATAAAAAAAGTTGGAATTTATTTTATACGTATAACGTTTATTCGTTTTTTAGTGTTTTCTTTATTAAGATATTATATATATAGTTTTTTAAAGTTTTTTTTATTGATTAAAAATAATAGTAGTCATTTTAGCCGCTCCCAAAAAAAATAATTATGTATAATTGTTAATGTGTGAATTTACATATATCGATTTGTTTTGCAAAACTTGATATTTAAGGGACGACACTGACCCCATTTTTTTAAATTCTCAAACCGTTTTTTTATCCGTTATAGGAGGACAGACAAATATATAGCCCCCAGCCTATAGCATCTAAACAACATGGTTGCCGATATTTGAAATAGTAACAAACATTTGTGTTTGTGTAAACATAGTAATAACAAACGCTTTTGCAATATTATTAGGGCGTAATTTAAATGAGAGAATTAGGTCTTACCCTCGTAACCATTAGCAGTGAATTTGTCTATCAATTTGTGAAAATAGTCCACTAAATCCGAATCATTTATTTCTCCCGTTTCTTGGCGAATTTTTACAACAGACCAAAACACCTTTTCTAAAAAGTCGGTTGCGGGTCCCGAAAAGAATTTCATTCTAAAACAAGGACAAGAGAATGAACTATATAACGAGAGATGAAATAATACCTTAAATCTAACTTGACCAAATAAGCATTAAGACAATGTGGTGTCATAGACATATCGATTTTTCTACATTTTTCCTTTCTTGACTGTGTGAAATCCCACTTCTCCCTTAGGCGCATAAGGCGTACTCATTTCTGTGTCCCTTTTATTAATTGGTTCTTTTACAGGCAAGTCGAAACAATCTGTTGTTTCCGTGGAATTCAAATCCAGAACCTCTCGCGCTTACGTTTAACAATTGGCTACAGAGGCGTGGCATCTGTAGCATTCTTTAAACTCACCGTAAAATTTTTGCAAGACTCGGGATGAAGAAAATTGACGATATTTCAAAGCCGCGCATAAAGTTGCATTTCGTTATATGTTTCGTGATCTGCCAAAGCGGTGAGTCTTCGCCTTTCAACACGCTCAGTCTTATACCAAACACGCTGAAGGCTAATGTGTCAGAGACGTACATTATCATCAGTTCCTGTAAAACAACTACAAAGTTTTAAAATGCTTAAGAACTCACGAAAATATTCCATTATGTACAGTGTATGGTAGCAATGTATAACTAAGAATAAACGGAGCGTTAACTCGATCCTCACGGGGTCCACCACGATTGAGCTAGTTTGTTGTTATATTAATGTTAATGTTTCTAATTATTGAATAATGAATTATATAATGGTAAATGAAACACACTGAAAAATGTTATTGTAAATCTCCATCTAAAAGGTTGCCTGGAGAAATTGCTTTTAGCGATAAGCTATTTTGTAACATTCGTGTGACAATAAAGTATTATTTGTTTGTTTGAAATTTAAAAATATGTGTTGTCCACAAACTACTAAAATCTATTTTCTTCTAATTATACTTCCTCAAATAAACATATTATGTTATCTGCATATGGAACTAGCCGTTGTTAGCAGCGTTTGATAACTATAAATAGGCTCAGAATACTTACGTAACTAGCCGTAATGCAAGGAGACGACAAGTAAACAACTTTCGAGTAACTTGAGTGGGCATATAACCTTTAGCAAGCTATAATTTTATGTTAGGTTTAATGCGCCGGCTATGCGCAGTGAAATAATTTAGGATAGAAGACGCGTTAGTATTGTGTAGTTATTGTGTTGTATTGTAACGTACTTATGATTCCTATCACAAATCTACCCAAAGTGGTCTTATAGGCGCCTCTGTACGTATTGCCTAGCATTGCGTTAAGCGCGAGAGGTCTTGGGTTCGAATACCAAGGCAACAAACAATTGTTTCGGTCAGGCAGGGTAATAAGGCTGATCCACTACTTGCCTGTTAAAGAACAGATCCGTGAACACAGAAATGTGTTCGCCCCATGCCCCACTAGGGGGAAACGGGATTTTACTTAAAGAGTTCTTGTCATTTTAAGCTGCACAAATACATTTACCCCTAAATATACATTCACAAATAATAAATCCAGTGAAAAACTTTTGTGCAATTTATTATCTATATAAATTGAAAAGAATGCTACAAAATTCGCGCTGTGACTAAGAAACAGCGGGAAATCTAAAAAAAAACGGGGAAAATTCTTCACCTTCTCGATGTAAGCTGCGAAAACGGTACGGAATACCAAAAAATATGTTTAAAATAAGGATTCCCCATTACCATTCAGACCTGAACAATGTCCGCGTCACTTTATGTCTATCTTTTATCATTAACTCGCACCGACGAGACGCGGTCTCGGTTGGAAAAAACTGACACAGATAGTTATATATCGATTCCTAAAAAGAGTAAAAATCAACATGGACAGGGGAAATATGCAATCAAATTAACATTCAAGCTAAAAATACTAACAAAGTTATTTCTATGTCTAAAATATTCTGACGAGTCGAACCCATGGCTATAGATGAAATGCAATTCGTAAAGATCTATATTTTTTATTGCAGTATGTGAATTAATATTATTTGGTTATTTTAACATTATGAATTATTACTACACTAAAATTAGAAAGCTGTGGAGTATGTTTGTTTGAACGCGCCAATAACAGAAATTAATTATAGGAATTGAAAATTATTTTTGTTTTGCTTGAAGGATTTCTCGTGAAAAACGCACGGCGCGAAGAAACAAAGGAAATGTGTGAAAAATTGGATATTTCATGCATTGCATGTTCGTTGCTTGCGTTGCAAAAACGGTTTAAGATACCCAAATATGTATAAGTAGAAGAATTATTGTTCTTTTACTAATCTGAAAAGTTCGCGGAACTATATATCTTTGGAAATTCGTTTCTGTTGGTAAAGTAAATTTGGGTCGAAATACTTGTATGGCAAAAGAACGTTTGCCAGGTCAACAAGTTATATCTAACAATCATGGCTTAGCTATGTAATGTATGTATAGTTAAATTCTACTTAAAAGTACCTTCAAATTCACCCTCTTCTTATCGTCGACGAAATCTCTCTGAATTTTATCTGTAAGGTCTTTACCGTTGACGGTCATCAATTGCGTTAATTTCTTCAGACGAACTGTAGTGAATATCGGAGAATAGACTTGCTGAATATGTTTTCGCATCTTGCCCTAATAAAAAAGAAGTAAATATTAGATTGTTGGTGATCAATAACATGAAATGATACGAAGATTTTTTTATGAAAAAGAACTCATACCTGTTGTATTAATATTTGTATAAACTATTTAGACAAATAAATAGATGCACATATCTGATAAAAGCGTGGTAATGTTGTAGTTAAAATTTGTTAATTAATTTTTACTCCTCGCGTAAACTACTCTCATTTTTTTATTTATTTTATGACTCCTCTCGAAAACTAGTGGTAAGGATACGGTAAATTCATACATTTTACCATCCATTTTACCTATATAGTTATTTTTTATTTACCACAAGGTCTATCAACATTTTAATATTGTACTTCATCGACAGAATCTGGCAAAAATTGTATTATGAAAGAAAATATATGAAATTTACACGACAATATCTATAGTATTTAATTTGATACTATGTAGTAACATATAATTCTTTATCTAAGATTATTAGTACCCACGCCATAGACATTAAATATTCAACAACTATTTAGATAGATATGTCTGACCTGTTTAAATTGTATCTAATATTCACACAGAGAAGTGTATTGGGTTGCCAACGCTCAAATAATCCTATTTTCAACATGAAATGAATATCTTGGGATAATGGGAAAATCAATTTAAAGATATTATTACTTAAAACTATAAAACGTTAGAATGTGTTTTTTTTTTAAATATAGCTTGTATACTATATTATTATATATTAATGTAATAGTTAAATGTTGATCTTGTTTGTTTTTTTTGAGTATTGACTTTAAATCTTTTTTTTATATATTTTTAATTTCACAATAAACACTTAAACGCCTCACCTTACAGACGAACATGTTTAACGAACCAATAGGATCACCATTTGACCCAGAATAGGTAAATCTATCTGGAAAACTATCCGAGTCCACAATAACTTTCCTGGCTAAATCGGGAGACTGCACCACGAGCCCTGGCTGCAGCCCCAAATATATACCCACACAATCGTAGGGGAATTTCTGCTTCAGTTCATAGAAATAATCCCAGAAGCTCTTTCTCATAATAAAACTTAAATTCCCAACAATGAACTTGGGATCTTCATGCGCGACGCCACGGTCTTTCCAATAGTTGTATCGTTTTCGTATCACCCAATAGAATCGGGTGGTTATTAAAATAATTAAAAATAAAAATAGCGACGCCGTTAACATTATGCGCGTCTTGTTCGCTGCGTTTATATTACAAATTAAATGCTCGGAAACTCGTTCCTTCCACCCCTTTTTATTGTCGCGTTTTATTCGTTAAAATGGTTATTATAAATTAAAAAACGATAACAGTTTGAAAAATCATTATCACAAATTTATGTACATACTTTATTATAAGCGAACAATTTAGATCACTTGCCTTTGGCGTAGTAAACTATAATTTAGTTCTATTAAGACTCCCATTTTGATAAATGTGCATTTAAAATGTAATAAAACCTTTACTACTAATATCAGAATTACTTTATCTAAGACTTGCGGCCCGTCCCGGCTTCGCACGGGTAGACATAAATAGGTACAAATATTTAAATTATAAGCATGCCAATTAAAACGACCATGAATCACTAAATTAGAAAAAAATTGTATTGCGCGTCCTCTCTATTAACGACCGTGGTCTATCTTGCTGGTTCAGGAGCCGCTGCGAGCGTTCAGTGTTAGTGTCCCGTGCACGCGTTCGCGAATTCCTAGCTCTATTTCCTTCAAGTCGCAGCGACGATCTGGCATTTCGTTCTGCAAGACGACCCGGAACATTCGACGATAGATTCTCTGGCTCGCGATTGGGACGCGTACACTCTAATACTTTCCAGACGATCATTTTAAGAAGAAGACTTTCCAATACGACGAAGAAGACGACTTTCCAATTCGCTTGGAAACTATTCTTAGATAGCTGCGACCTTCTTCTTCTAGGCATATTGCTATGAAGGATATTTATTTTAAATTAGAGAAATTAAGAATAAACTAATAATAATACAAAAGAAAATATTCAAGTCCAAAGCGAAAGTTCTGAAAAGAACTTTGACAAATATTATGCAAAGTGTGATTCCTAATACTAAATTAAGTAGCTCTAAAAAGAACTTTTTAAGTGAAGCATATAAATGTTTAAAAAAGACTCGAAATATTCAATGTCGTTCGCGCCTACTGCGTCAGGAGCCGACCGCACTGCCTCTATATCGTCGAATTAGTTACTCAATGCGCGGCGTCATATCTTTTTATTTTAATTTCATTATATCTTTCGAATGGAATGTCCGATGTCAATAATTAAAAAAGCACTCATCAGGTATTGAGACAGTCTTGAATATTAAATTATTTATTTGGATAAAAATTTATAAATGGTATGGATAACACGGTCTGATTGTGATCGGCGTTTCTATTAATTTGTTAAATGTAAAAAAGAAGTAATGGCAACGTAACTACATATGCTCTCGCGATGTTTTTTGTAGATATTGATATATTCTATAATATTATCCAACATTTTTTCGTCCTATCATAAATACTTTTCGCAGCGTATGCGATGAAAGATATTTTATGGCTAATTTTTTTACACCTCCCTTTGGTTTTGATATAAATTCCTAAAGATTTCTTTAGTAATCAAGTACTAAATATAGCCTATGATACTCAGTGATAAACTACATTATCACTGAGTACCTAATGAAAAAATAATTATTAAAATCGGTCCTGTACTTTTTGAGTTTATCCGTTACATATAAAAATACAAATCTCTCATCTTTATAATGTTAGTATAGATAGGAATTAGTATTGATAATAGGGATAAACTATATAGACGTTTCTGAATAAATATAAATTTTTTGTGTGCTTGTATGTCTTTAGAGATGCATGTCTTTTCTAATTGAGCCGGTAAGGAATTCTAAACTCAGGCCAGAGATCTAAGTTCGTCACGACTTCATTGAGGCAAGGATGTCACGTTAAGTTAATGGAAGTCACAACAAAGGAGAACATATTCTTCCATTTTGGAATTATCCGCTATATGGGTTGTTAGAAAGGTTTTTTTTTTTTGAATGGACTCTTACGTATTGTGTTCCTAAGGAGCCACGAATACTAACCGGGCGTTTTGAGCGAGCGCGATAGCGCTCGCCGTGTTTGCGGCTAGACCAAGGGTGCCCCGAAGGGGGCATCGGCCTCGGCTTGGACCGCCGCAATGCGGGTGGGAGCTAGAAGAGCTGGACGGAAGCTCACCCGGGTGAGCGGTACGCGAAGCGAATGACCTCGCCTACGCCGGCGTAGGCGGTTTTGCGGGCGATCGGCACCGGTGTCGGCCGATCGCATAGCGATAAGTAAGTCGACGGCTTTGGTTAAGTCGTCATCGGGGTCGGTGACAACGTTACGCGGCCTTCTCCAGCGTGTATTAAAGGGAACGGTGTAGTTGGCGGCCCGGGCCACCAGTGGGTTCGGATGCGTCGCGGTTTTTTTAAAGAAACGTTCGGACGTTTCCTTGAAGTACCGACTGAGGGTCGGTAATTCGAGATCGGCGTGAAGATTTGCATTTCGTACGCACCAGATGGCTCCAGTGGCGGTTCGAGTGAACCGATTCTGAAGCACCTGGAGCCTGTGCAATGTACTAGGGGCGGCGTGTTAGAAAGGAATTGTGTCCTTAATGATACTAAAAAAATATACGATTACCTAAGATATTTTTTTATCTTTAAATTTATTCTCCCAAAGGTAAAGAATAAGCGGGACGAATTAGTAATAGTATTCATTTGTATATATTTTTTTAACAGAATAATAAATTATCTTATTGAACAATCACTAAATTACCTAAATTACTTATTTACAATGAAAAATAAATGCACGCGTTAAATGTGCATTGCCGAATCCTTCTAGTGTTAAGTAAAATACGGTTCATGTTAAGTCAAAGTTTATATTAAAGCTAAAAGTTGATTTTAGCTTTAATATAAGTAAATAAATGTACTTTGATTTGATTTGAAGTTCTTATATATTATGTATCGTAGTTATTTTAAATATGAAAAAAAGGTTATTTCAAAAAGGTCATAATTACCGGGTTATTTCATATACTTTTTATGCAACGGAAATAAGTCATAATGATGTGTTTTGTTATTGAATTGTTAATTTTGTCCTTGATGACAAAATTAACTTTTGTTACTTTCCGTTTGATAACAATTTTTTTATTCTGTAAGCCTTAGTTTACAAAATACCTAGGAACCAGAATCGTTTTGGATTGTGCAATATCTTAAGAAGTGAGATATTAACTGAAAAAAGTTAATTGATTACCATAACATAATGTCATACTATTATTATTATTTTCTACCGTCCTACCACAAGTGTTCCCGACACTTGTGGTAGGACGGGTTATCAGCCGACCATTTCACCCATTTCCCCATTTTCTCCTTGCAGAGGTTTTGGGTCATCCAACTCTCCCCGTGTCCCCTTCAAACATTCCGGTTTGCTTGAAGAACCTTATTATTTTTTCCATCTGTAGTTCTTTAATGTCATCTTCTGTAACTTCGTCCGAGCCCATGTGTATTTGTCTTTAACATTTTTCAATTTAATTTCGATTTTTAAATTATATAGTGCCTTCACGTGCAATAACATGTGAAAAATATTAATGTTTTTAATACTTGTTTCTATTTCTTGCAAAATGAATGCTCAAATGCATTATCTGGAGTTTGATGACGCCTCACGTATCACCAATATTGGTTCACGAATCTCGCGCTGGTATCAATCTTGTGTCAGCAGAATTAACTGTTGGTTACTTTGATTGGAAAGGATTTACGTATAACTGGTGTATGTACTTAAAATATTACGACCATTCGAATTTTGCACTACCATAGAATAAAATTAACTTCACTTTTTTTTACTCACTTGGTCTTCTAAGAATAATTGTAGTAGATATGTGTATACATAGGACTATGTACATATAGCTTTATATTAAATACGTTATGAAAAGTACTCCACAACTATTTAATCACACGGAAAACAAAAACTTAATTGCATTTTTTATTATCACACTTATCTAAAATGAAGAAATAATTATTTGTTTTTAGCACCTTAAATATTTTATAATTTAAATTGATTACATTTACATACTAAGAACGTATTGTCTACCTATTAATTAGAGTAGCGGTGTAAATATTGTTTGTTTTTGATAATAAACGAAGTTTGTTAAAATATAAAATGCCCCAGTCATATAACATGTCACAAGGTGCGTTGTCGACCTGTTTCAGCTTTGGATATTCGGAAATCCACAGAATGAAATCGAAACGTGATTAAACTTCAATGATTTTTCATCTGTCGAAACGGAATTACGATATTCCTACCACCCATTAAAAATCCAGTTTTCCAGAAGTCCAATGTTACAGAAAAATTATAAATTGATTAGAAAATATTGGACCCGGTGGGGACCCAACTCACGACCAGTTGTTTATTAGCCATATATTGATACCATCAGACCAGTGTTATTCGGTATAGAAAGGCAAATGTACAAATTGAGGGTCAAACATTATTGCCGTTCGGAGTGATATGGAGCCACGTGAGGCAATGTGGAGCCAGGGAACATAAAACCGTCGCCGCCTTCACCGTAATGGAATCCCGCAAATCTGTGCGGAGCAATAAAAAATCTAATTTCCTATATATTGACGGTGTTGCCAAATTGAGGCAATATCAAAGTGCTGATTTGTCGCTCCGCTGAATACCACTCTAGCGTTGATGCGAATCGACGAATGCGGACGGCGAAAATTGAGCTCGTTTAATTCTGATCTGTCTTTTGGGGGTTCCGTACACAAATGTTTACAATATTATATTTATTATGTAGGACCCGATAGCTCAATTGGTTAGGCAACAGCACGAAATATCGTCGTATATTTTTTCATTTTATAATCGATTATTAATTTATATAGTGCCATCATGTGCAATAACATATATCTTAATGTTTTATATAGCAAGGCATAAGTTGCATAACATCGAACCGTAAATGTTAAAATTAAAATTACATTGCGTGCGTGATGCATGTATAAATGGGTTGAGAAAAATCGACAATGACATGTGGG